ATAGCTAAGAGTAATTAGGCTTTATTATTTAGTAAATATATTATTTTTAGTAGTTAGACGCGTAGTAAAAAGAAGAAGAGACTATAATTATAGCGGGCTAATTGCTTTACTTATCTAATTAACTTACTTATTATATACGTTATAGATAATAATAATAAAGAAGAATAAGAAGAGGTTCTTACTATAGATATTTATAGTAGTATAAGTAAGGTGCTAAGGTAAATTATATAAGATAAGTCACGTAACTATAGATTAGCTCTACTAACGGCTGGTTAAATATCCTAACATAGACGTTTATAAAACAGCAGTAGCAGTCTAATAGCCACACTAGTCCCCTCCTAAGACCCTTTAACACTACGCGTAGTCGTAAATAATAAGCATCAAAGCTACTAGTTTCTAAATTAGAAAGAAGCATATACTACAGAACAAAGGGGTATTATCATGTAACAAAACAATACCGTTAGTTACATAGGCAGTAATAGTAACTTACATATCGTGATAGGTATAAACCTGTCATCAGAACCACTCCTGCTTAGCATGAAACCGTCTCGCATTCATTGGCATCACAGCAGAGGTTGACGTGCTGATAGCATGTTCCGCAGTCGCGTTTACTGAGGCTCAGAGCGTCACCTGTGATGTCTTCCTCCTTTAGGAATGGTGTGGCAGCCGCGACTGCAATAAGGGTGAAAAGTGGCAAAAGTCTCATTTTAAAGTATTGAAAAGGGTGGATTAGATTGTTTTGATCAAAGGTGAAGCTACCTAGTTGCTGGTGAATATTTCGTTTGTGAACTTGAGGCATAGTTGGAAACAATTTACCATCCGGGCATTTGACCTATTTATGTGATTTTGAACACTCTCTTAGCGCAAGGCATAAACCACATGACTCATAGGTCGGGCACTTTATCTCCTACAGTTTAACTACGATGATTAAAGCCTAGGTACGATGGTTTCCGGCCGAAGTTGTTTCCCCCTGTTAGGTAACTAATGCTCACCCCCCTACTACAGAACTTCACTTTTGGTGAATATTCCCCCTCTATCATGATGTCAGCTATGGGGGATAACATCATAGGGGGAAAAAACTTACCCCTGCCACCCTGTATATAATTAAGATTACATAATTACGTAGCCGCTTTTCAGCGGGGGGGGGGGGGGGGGGGGTGTAAACTTTCAAGGTATCACTTCGTGAAAAGCTTCATACTCTCGAAATGCTTAAAAGTGGAGACACCCCTGCCTTGAGGCGACTTCGAGTACTGCTAGATACTCTGGCTACTTTACGGATACACACATTATTACTACCATTCTAGATCTCAGGTTCTAGTTCAGGGTAGAAGAATCCTAAATACCCTCTGACAATTTTCCATAGGAGGCGTTAGTTACGATCTAGTTACTTACTCCAAGTGCTAACCTACTCTTCTCTTGTAACTTATTAAACACTTGTTGCATCTCGCCCTTAATGTCTTCTCTGTTGATGTATGTCTTCCTGCTTCCGCGAGATCTGAAGGAATCCTGCCAGCCATGTCTTCTGCTAGAACATCTGCTCTGTGATCCAGGAGAAGCTATCCACGGCTTGCTCGCCGTCTTTAGGCAGCAAGATGTAACTCCCCCACCCTATTTACGAGACATCCCCACATCCAAGACATTATCATCACCATTATCACCACCACTATCACCACTTATTTCACTATCTCTACTACCTACCTATATGTAACTTTAAGTCTTACTAGGTGATTTAGATGCCCTAAATTTATCTACACTATTTATATTACTAGTATTTAGACTTTATGCCTAGATTATATTCTTTATAGTAGTAAAGGTACTATTAGGTAGTAAGTAGACCTTTTTCCTCTTATATAACTATATATTATCTAACTAGGCCTTTAACAAGTTAACTTACCTTTTTAAAAGGCTACTTTAAAAGCCTACTTATTATATTCTTTTTATACCTTTTTAAATAAGTAATAAATAGTATAGGTATTTAACTTACTCTTACCTAGCTAGGTTAACTAATATAATTAGTACTATAAATTAGTAAATTAATAAGGGGTTAACTATAAGATAATAAATTTAGCTTTATTTCACTATTAGCTACTAGACTACTAGCTAGCCTACTAGGCCTTAGTAACTAGTAGGTTAGATAAAAGGTGCCTTCTAGATACTAGCTATAACCTAGTGGCTTTCTAGCTACTCTTAATATTAATATCTATAATAAATAACTTTTAGGCCTTAAAATAATACTCTAGAAATACCTTTTTACTAGTAATAGTTAAATCTATTACCTAGTTATCTAGAATTCTAGATATCTAACCTTTTAGTAATAGGCCCACTTTAATAAGCTAAAGATAACTATATTTAGTGGCTAGAGAATAGTAAAGGTATATAGTAATAAAAAAATAGATATAATACTACTAGTATTTTTAAATAAAGTTAATAGTTATATAGGTATAATACTTATTAAGAACTAGTAATTTAGCTTTTTCTAGCTAGGTAGGCTTAGTATATAAGATAAAGACCTTCTCTAGCTATTTAAGAGTAGTATTATTAGTTATCTAGTTATTATTTATTACTATAAATTACTTAGCTTTATATTTAAATAGGTTAAATAGGTTAGATATAAACTACTAGGCCTAAAGTAACTTACTTTTATATATAAGTAAGAGGGGTAAAAAGCTCCTAGTAGTAAATATATACTTAATAATAAATACCTATACTTAGAATCCTAGTTATTTTTTCTAGATATAGTATAATATTATAAAGCCTAATACTAGCTTATTAACTTTTTTACCTTTTATAATACTAGTTTTATTTATATTTTATTTATTAGATAAATAAATTACTTAAATAGTAGAAATATTACCTAAGTAATAAAGGAAATTCTTAATAACTTTAAGAAAATAAGCTACTTATTACTAGGTATTAATTACTTTAAATTAAATAGTTTTAATAAATAGATTTTACTATATAAACTAAGCTATTTATTTTCTTTTTATAAAAAGATACTTATTATTTATTATATACTTTACTAAGCTTTTTACTTATTAATAAGTAATCTACTTACTAAAAGTAACTTAAAGAGATATATAGGTAGCTAGATTATCCTCTTAGGCCTAAGATAAGTATTATATATAAGTAAAGGCAGTATTCTTACTTTACTACTTATAATATTAATAATAAAGTAACTAGTATAGTATACCCTATTTAGAAGTAGTAGCCTAAATACTATACCTATCCTATATATCTAGAAGGGCCTAATAAAGCTTATCTTTAGTATATTACTTTAAAATAGGTTAAAGAAGGTATCTTGAAAAAATGGCGTTGTTTAGTTATATATATAAAATGTTATGATAGTTGAAAAAGGTGGTGATGTTGATGAAAGAGGAGAAATGCGGGATTTTCGGATGTCTCGGAAGTGGGGGTGTCTCGGATGTGGGGTGGGGGAGTTAAGGGGGTCTTGTGGTTACGATTGTATACGTTGACCAATACATTCCGCTCCAACAGAAACCAGACCACATCCTCAAACCCCTTTTTTGCTGCATAATGTAATGCTGTATGAGACTTCTCAAGGTAGCGTCCTTCTACCTCGAAGCCAGATTTAACGAGATTGGCAGCTGGAATTGGAGTGTCAAGGTTGAGTGCACGAATGATAGCGAGTTTATCTGTCCTTTCTGCTCCATTTTGAAATAGCATTTCTGTAGGTTTTCGGTCTCCGCTTGAAGCAGTGGTGACCAGAGCTTCGGATAGAAAGCCTAAGCCGATCCTGTGGTCTAATAGAACCCGAAGCAGACCAGTATCTCCTATTATAGCGGCACCGAGTAGGATGGCCTTTTCCCTGGTGATTGTTACATCGGAATCGTTATCCAGAATGAAGTATACGACCTCTAGCCGGTTCGGTATGTCTAGCTTCGTCTCTTTTATAACGGCTTGAATGGCTTCTATCCCTGCGGTAAGCAGAGCAGGTTTGTTGTGCTCTGCCAGCATTCGTAGAATATCAATGTTGCAACACTTTGCCGCAACAACTATGGCGCGTACTTCTGCGTCAAAGCCACCATGCTCTTGACCCAAGAATCGAAGTACAAGGTCGGAAGCCCCCTCTTCTATTGCGACCACCAGAGGATTGCTTTCTATTGTCATTGCGAGCAAGCAACGAGCCAAACATTGTGCAAACTTAGTCCTTCCCTTGCGTAAAGCGTAGGCGAAGTGTTCTTTCATGGAATCCGGACCGCTTGAAAACGGGGCATTTGTTAGAACAGTAATGCTGTTCTCACGAGCTAGAGCACACAGCAGATAGGAAGATCCGAACGAGTGAAAAGGCTTGTATTGTGGGAAGATGAATCTCCCGGGTGGAGGGCCTATATAAAGGGGGCCCTCGAGCTCGTTCATGTGACATGGCACGTGGTGTGGCTGACGACAGCCGCCACACATACACGAGCCTCCTGTGATAGCTGTCTTTTTCGTTCTTGTGATGTCGCAGATATGGGTTACAAGCCGGTGGTGCAATTTCTGGCCAGTTGACCCTAAGAGCAAATGATAGCAGCTGCTCAAAAGGGAACATTATTGATTTTCCTGGGTCAGTACATTCCATTGAAGGGACATGTATCCATGAGGCAGCCCGTAACCAGCCTTTAAACATTAGAGAAGCCTTCCTAGGGCAAACTTCTTCGAAGAGAAAATCGGTGATCAGACTTTTCAAAGAATCTGATTCCCGAAAGTCTCCAGCGGCCTGAACGTGTTCAAACCATGTAGTGGCGGAATGGCGATACTCAGTTGTCTTCACTAGCTCCAAGGGGATGCGATCTAAGGGATAAATAAGTGACTTAGTTACTACCAAGTTATCTAAAAAATAAGTACTCTAATTAGCATCTAGTAGAGGCTAGAAAGAATTATCTAGTGTACTTAAAAAAGCTACCCTTAGATATCGCCTAAGTACTACCTCCCCTTCCCTCATACAGTACATAATCTATTAATTTCCATGAAGGATAGTAGCTATATTAATGAGTATTAAGTCAATACTCAAGAGGGACCACGCTGCGAGCCGTAGAGGAGTCGCCAATAATAGGAGCCTTGCGGCGAGACATAGAGGAGTCGCCAACGATGGGAACCTCGCGACGAGACATAGAAGAGTCGCCAACGATGGGAGCCTCGCGACGAGACATAGAAGAGTCGCCAACGATGGGAGCCTCGCGGCGAGACATAGAAGAGTCGCCAACGATGGGAGCCTCGCGGCTAGCTACAGCTAATCTTTGTATTAGCAACTGTAGACCAGACAGTTTCAACCGTACTCACGCGTAAGGGGCATTGCAATCGCCCCCAGAGCACAAAGCGACACGATAGCTTGAGTGTACTTCATATTGACTGTTCGGGGCAGTATAGACTGATTTGATATCTTTCAGAGAATTCAGCAGGCTGCAGGTGTTGGAATAACGTGTTATAATGGGTGGATTGATCTTCAAGATAACAATAGTGTTCTCTTAATTGGTATCGATGGCTTTGAGACAATATTAAATAAATGGCCAGATATGCGGAAGCAATGCCCCAACACGCAATGCACCTGTTCTGTGTATACAACTGAATGGGCCTTCGTATGCCAGGCACCGTAAGCAGGCGCATATAATCGTGCGTTGCCGCGTGGGCCTTCGATGCCTTGCTGACCGTAAGCATACATGAAGCCATGAAGTGCATACAGTTGCCTTGCGATTGTGGCCCTGTTCCTGATGTAACCTAATTACCATCTTGGTATGCCGCTAGCTCATATTTTTGCACTATCGGGTGGGAATATTGAGGTATGCATTCAAAAATCACGATGCAGTCAACGTCAGCTTGCATGACTCCACATTTGCCCGCGACTAAATGGCCCCACAACTGTAACATTTCTCTCGCTTTGGTCCGTCTCATCATACTGACTGGTACGCATTGGATCTATTGTAACACCAGTATTAAAAGTTACGGACGGCGATTAATATCTCTTGCATTTGCATTATTGCTGTATGTTCTACCGCTGCTACTGCCGTGGCTCTTTTTTTCCACATCACGTTGAGCGAAAACATGGCTTCCAAGGAGGTAAAGTTTGAAGCGGTTTCCATGGACGCTGAAGAATCCGACTCTGAAAGCCAATCGCTTCTGGACCGTGAGCAGCGTATGAAGACGACTAGTTCACAGCGTCTTCGGAACTGGACTTTCTTAGCGGTGAATGCATTTGTCTTGCTTCTTAACATCGGGGTGCTTCTTATGGTCACTACACCAAAGGTTGTTGATGAAGCTACCAAAATGATAACATATCCTCGTTTGCCGCATGAAGGTCAGTTCATCCCCCATGCTTGTGTAGTTGAGCGGTCAGTCTGATTGAAGAATGATCACAGAGTGGATAGAGGACGTGATCAACTTCGAACTTCAGAGCTACGACGATAAATTTTCAAATCATGGCGAGTTTCGTGGTGTAACTCGCCCTGAACTTGACCATGCATGGGACTCGATGATGCTCCGGAGTAAGTTACATACACACCTCGTTGAATTACGACTGAAACACTAAAACTCTGACTCAGACTTCACTGTGAGAATACCGAAGCCTGGCTGGCGAGAACACAGCACTCCAACAAGTATTCTTACGGAATTTCAAGACGAAGATGGGGGCATCATGGGCACTTTCAGTTTCATTCACAATTTGCACTGCCTTGTTAGTTGTAGACTTCCTCTTCGATTGCCTACGCTCATCGAATACTTACACCAACACCCTAGAAAACGATTCGACAATACATGCTACCTGAAGATTACCCTCGTGTAGCTGCAATGTATCAGCCAACGCCTGATTCTCCAATACCAACACATATAGGTCAGTGGTCCAACACCAGGCATATGTATTGTACTCGGCTAATGTTTTGCGTCCAGACCATTGCATTGATATGTGAGACGAAATTTCGCTATTCATTTTGAGTTTCAAATTATTTAGAGCTTCATTTGGAGGTTGTACTAACACGTTGTTTTTATGCAGTCTTCGTCAGTCGGAGCTGTGCCACGCGGACATGGCGCTTATGACCTTCGAGTGGCGGGAAAATGAGCCGAATCCGGTCAATATCCACCACACACCGCACATCTGTGCCAACACAGAAAGAATAACTTCCTTCTTAGAGAGAGTTTCAGTTCCTCCTTTTGGACTCACTATGAATCCGTTCACCGGTATGCTGGTTTAGTCTTTTGCGTAACAGAATCTTGGTTTACTCTAGATGACTAATTTTTTATGCGTAGGAAAGCGTCCGCTTTGGGATGTTCCCAACCATGCTTAATTATATAAAGTTAATATTGCGCGTTTATTGCGGTTATACTACGGCAATGGCAGCCGTTGTCCGCAGGAGTAATGCACATCAACTATATATAGTTGGAGATATAATAAAACGTTGATTAGAATCTACCAAATGCTTTTGTTGTTCCTAATATTTGCAGAGTCTTTGATAATATCTCGTTCAAACGCAATCAACGTGATGTATTAGACCATCTCCTAAACTGAATACTGTAAGCGCATAGGGCATGATGGGACCTTTTGTGGTGCGGTAACTATATAGAACACTACAACCACCAAAAGCAACACAAGATTCCATGCCAATCGGTGTACGTGTCATACTGATCGGTCTCAGAACGGCTTCAATCGTGAAGGTCAAGTCCTCCGACCAGTCACAGCAGTACACTGTTCTAGGCAAGTAGAAGTTTCCAATCGTCTTGTGTTATCACATCCGAAGGTAGATCATAGAAAGGCCCTAGTTTGATTAGGCAAAGGTAGGTCTGTGTGAGGAAATAGAATTGTGTATGATCTGTCTCTCTCTCTATCGTCTGCTGGCTTATATTTTCAGCTTGCCGATCGGATGTCAAGTTTTTCTGATCGGGTATGTTTCCTTTCTCATTTGGCTGATCGCCCCGCCCTACTCCAATACTGTTATGTTTAAGCTGAACAACTTTTTAAAAAAGCTATAACAACGCCTGAAAGCGTCAGTTTTTAGAAGATTAGGCCGAACCGGTTGTATTCGCTATTGCTACCCTAACCATGATTTGGGTGAATATGATTAGATAGAAATCCTTCAGCTTCCTTAATAATGTTTTCCAGCATTTAAACTTTTTCCTTCGGCCATCGGGAATCTAGGTTGGACAAGTGACCAGGAATACTTCCACGCCAAACTCAGTTGCTATTCATTTATAAGACACGAAACCACCCCAACGTCAAACGTGGATCCTATTTGCGGTTGCACCTCATCACCAATCCCTCCGATGACTTTCAGAATGGCTGAGGTACAATGCATGGTATGTGCGAGCGAGTTATGTGCAACTGCGGCTATTTCACCCGTGACCAGCCGATGCATCCGTCGGGCGAGAAAGACACAGTGAGCCAGGTGATTCTCTGTGGTCGTATAAATATGACTTCCGACCAGGTCCGACAAAGCCTCTTCAGAGGCCACTCGGTGTTGTGCCTTGTCATCATGGAAGAATGCCCATGGCCCGAGGCTGCGCCTCCGTTCGAGCACCCAGGCGCGATGTTCATCATCTGTAGCGGGATCGGAACAATACTCAGGCATCCAATTGTTGGTGAGCAAGTCAAACACACATCCGAGTTCTCGAGCCTCGGTAGAGGTATTGCCGCAGTGAAGTTCTATCGGGGTTGGGGCCGGGGGTTCATGAACCATCGTGGAGGATAGCGAGGGACAGAAGGATGAACCGCAGGTAGTCTGGCGGGCCACATATACAAAAAGAATGCATGTAGCCGCGAAAAGAAAGGCAAGAGTGATATATGCCATTGGTGGGGTCCGACAGCCAGCTCGGTGGCCAAAGTTGCCGCCATTTGCAGTTTCCGTCGATTTCAGATCGTTGGAATAACATCGACTGAGCCGGTTGTATCTTTTAGGCGACGGCAGCATGGTGATTAGAATTCAGTAAAGAAAGCCTGTATTCTGCAAAGAAAGAATGCCACAACGTTTGGGTGGCAGGTCATTCCCTGAGGCCGGCTACTCAGTCAGTGGGCGTGCCTAATACTGTGAAATGTGGACAACTCAATCATAGGTTGATGTGTGACAGGCCGTAATTGTCATCGAGAGGTTTTTGCTCACATTGCGTTAAACTTACCATTCGACCCTGAGCCAAAGTGGGTCAGACTGTAAGCGTGCGTGTAAGCATGCATAGAAATGTCATTACTGCATGTTATCTAGGATGCTTACCCAAGCCCGCGGGACCCCCTTATCCCCTGCTCCTCCACTGTCAGTCAGATGGTCAGACGGGAGTCAAAGTCGGCAGCACTTGCTTGCTACTAACAATAGAACTCACGAGCGTGCACTTGGCTAAACAGGGTCTTCTAATTACATCTATAATACGTTAATCTAAACGTTTACATGGGCGCATCTGCCTTTGATTCCTCATCTCAACCTTTGGAGAAGTTATTGTATTTTCAAAGCACTTCGAAAACACATACATCTGTTGTTGTATACAAGCAACATGAAGACCACTCGGAGACAAGAGCGACAATTACGGGACCGTATTGCACGGATTCTTCCCGATTACGAAGATGAACTTGTTCCTGTCAGCCTCTCCTTGAAAGTCACGAAAAAGGAATGTGAGAAGCTGGTGGCTTCAATCTTGTCAGAATCTACCAGCCCATTCCTAAGCCTCGAAACAAACGATTTCCGTAGCGGTCCCGATGCCACATCCAAAGAAACCTTCCGCATGGCCTTGATGAAAACCCTTCGTCCGGGTTGGCGCGATACAGCCACCGAGGCTAGGTTCATAAGACTAGCAAATATCTTGAAGCAGGAGGGGTGCGCCGCCTTTGCCGGGTTGGTTGACGCTGCCTCTTTTCGCCATCTTGTCGATGACTTCTCCAGTCTCATGAACGATGCTGGAACACATGCCTTTCTGCACTCCTTCGCCAACCTAATTGCCTATCCTCGATTCATCAACAACCCGGCATACAATGACGCTCTAATACATCCACTCCTTATTGCGATGATGTCCTATGTTATGGGTGGCCCTGTCAGAATGACAGATGCGCGTGGCAAAGACACTCCGCCCTTGTCGGTAAATGCGCAAGACAATATGCTCCACGTCGATAACACTCCATTTCGAGAAGAATACAAGATTCTCCTTGGCTGGGAGAAAGGGGAAGTCAAAGGTCCGACTGGTCAGAACTTTACTTTCCTGCCTGGTACTCATTTGGGGACCCGTTCGATACGGACAGACAAGAGGTCTCAGCCTTGGTCTACTGAGAATGACAGCCTTTTCATCACAGAAAAGAGCGTTGATGAGGTTCTCAGTTTCCAAAAGGACATCATCGGTTGCCCCCCTAGAGTGGTGGAAGTTGAATATCCCCAGCAGCCCATCACCGTGCTTTTCAATGCGGGCTCTTTGGTCCATCATCGTTATCGCAACAACGACGGCACCACGCGCAGCTGCGTTATTACCGCTTTTCATCTTGCATCAGATCACCCTGGTGCCCTGATAGCCTCCAGTATCGACGGTCAGCCTAAGACACTAGCGGGCATCCTCATGGGACATCAGAGCGAAAGCAACGCTGGAATCTTTTGTTCCCTGTTGGGCTCCAAGGCTTTGCTTATTGAGTCCAAGATCCAGGACATCCTCAACGAAACTCACCATTCCACTATGATAGAAACAACTGGAATGGAGTTATCTGGAGAGAAGCTGGAACGCTGGAGGGAGACAGTTATCCACGCGCCCTCCGCCACCCAAGTCAAGTTCAAAAGGGGATATTACATCACGCTAGCCGACAGATTCATCTCGCGGAAGCTCTTGAAGAGTAAGCTCGCGGATGCCATGGCATACGATAAACACGGCCTCCTTGACCTCATAATCTACCGCGACGGCCACGAGGAGATCCGCAAGCCGGCGCGCAAGAGTGTTTGGACGATGCCAAGGGAAGGTATCATGCATGTGCTTACCCTTTGGCTTCCGGTCGTAGAAAGCCACCGATTCACCACGGCAGACGTCGAGAACCCCCGGGTTTTGCAAAAAGAGGCCTATCAGATTGCGCGCCTCATCCGTGAATCCTTTCCGAGCATCAATTTTGCCAGGGAGAGCACGGCCGGTAAGGAACAGCAATTGTCCTCGGCACAACAGCTCATCGTAGACTTAGGGGAGTCTATCACACGGTGTGAACAGCTGGAGACATATATCACCACCAACCTCTTCCTCTTCCTCATCATCAACCAAACTCTGCCTATCTTGGACTTGACTCTGAGGCAAGAGGGTATTGTGGCTTGTGGTATATTTTTGAGAGCTTACATAGCGTCTGTATTGCTGGCTGAGAGCATTGAAAACGACGCGATTTCTGTAGGGGCTGTCTAGAATTCGCTCCAGATTCGTCGTTTTAAAAAGAATCGACATTTGGGGGTCAAGCTTATTAGGCAAGAGAAAAGGCCTGCACTTCGTGTTATAATGCTGGCTGTTCCCTTATTCACAGTTTATTAGATCTTAATAGTACAAAGCAATACCTACAACCATGAAACCAAAAATAGACATGTAATATGTGATGAACCGCAGCGTATGGTCATTATAGAGAAAAGTAGTTGTTCTATTTAGAAAGTACTCGGGGGGCTTAGTCAGGATTCTCATGTGCTAAATCCCCCCTCCTCACGGAGGGGGCAAAAAAAGGGGGGTCGCACTGAGAAAAGGGGGGTCACACCCTGTCCCCACTTTATCCTACTTTTTGTTACATTCTTACTAAAATTATTAAATATTTAGATAAGTTATTAACAGATATTAATACTAACTAAACTACTTACCCTACTTTAACCTATCTATTATACCTTACTAAAGTAATAAGTATATAACCCCTACTAAGAAGGCAGCTAAAGTGCTTTTTACTACCTAACAATAGGCCTATACCTATAACTATACTAGTAAATTACCCTCTACTATACTTACTATATAGGCACTTACCTAGCAGTATAAAGTATCTAATATATTAATTTACTAGCACCTCTATACCCTCTATAATAGCAGTAACCTCTAGGCTAGCCTAGAGGAGGGCAGCTAGCTAAAGCTATTAACCCTAGCTAAGGATTTAGCGCTTACTACCTTTATTATATAGATAGAGTAAATTAGCTTCCTAGTAGCCCTAGTCTAGGTTAAAAAAACTACTAACTTCCTCTATAGCCTCTAGGGCTAGCTAGCTGTTAATAGTAACCACTTTATCTAGACCTAGCTTACTAACCACCTAGAGCTAGAGGGTAAGGCTGTAATCCAGCCTATTAAGGTATACTAGAAGGGAGCTAAGTTTAATACTGCCTCTATCTAGGATTTCTTTACCTAGTACTAGGCTAACGTTACAGACTTTAATCTTAGCCTATTTAAGATATAGAACGCTAATAAATCTAGGTGCTAAATTAGCTGCCTTAACAGCTAGCTTTATGTAATAGTCCTTAAGTAGCTAAAACATAGCCTATATCTAGAGATTATTAACCTATCTAACTATAAGACTTTAACTATAGTTAGATATAGTAATATAATTAGTAATAGTATACTAGTATATATAATTTTTAAAACGTAGCTAATTACTACTTAGGTAGATTATTAGATTTAAGAAGGTGTCTGCTTTATATATTTAATAATAGGCTTCTCTAATTAAGAGGTTATAATAGACTATATATAGCACTTTAACACTAAGTTATATAAATACTTTACTAAGTATATATATATAAGCTACTTCTTTAGTAACTATTTTAGTTATAACGTATATAGCTATAGTAGTTATACTATATAGTATACTAACTTAAATAGTTAACAGACTAAAAAAGAAATACTATATTATAATTATTATAAGACTATTAAAAAGGATTAATAACCTTATAGGCTTTTCCTTTTTAATAAATTTACTAGTTATATAAATATTAAGCTTATAAAATACTATATTAACTTTAATATTATCTTAGGTTTTTTTTTACTTTATATTACTTATCTTCTTTAGCTAATAGATATAGCTGTTTTTTAACTATTTAAGAAGGCCTAATAATAAGTACTTTACTATTATATATAGGATAGTAACCTTATATTTATAAGGGGTGACTTTATTACTACCCTTACTACTATAATAACTATAGCCTTTATAGTAAAGAATATTATAAATAGGTTTAAGAAGTTAGGTATCTAGCCTATTTATAATAATATAGTACTAGCCTAGCTAGTAAGGAAGATATAAGAGGCTAAGCTATAGATACTATCTTACCTTATATATTTCTTACTAAATAATAATAAATTTAATAAGGTAATACTTATAATATAGTATATTAAGAATAAATATAGTAGTAAATAGAGCCTATATTTAAAGAGGTAATATAAAATAATAAAAAGGGTAATTTTAAAAGGGTCTCTTAGCTATAAGTACAGGCAGTAGTATATTAAAGACTATAACAAAAGGTTAGCTGTATTATAGTAAAAGAAATAAGCCTACTAAGCTATAAAGCTATTATATTTATTTATATTAAGTGTTACTATTATAGATATATAAGAGGTATATAATAAATAAATTACTAAGGCTACGTAAGTAGAGATCTAGTAGTAAACAGCCTTTATTAAGAAGGCTGCTTATAATAAGGAAAAAAAAGTCTGCTTATAATATTATATAATAAAGTATTAACTAGTAGATAGTAAGAGAAAGTAACTAACCTTTTAATAGTAGTTAGTTTATACTAAAGAAGTTAATAACTATATCCTATTTAATACCTTAGATCCTTACTAGTATAATATAAAGCCTAAGAAATTTACTATTAATATTAATCTAACTCCTTATCTACTATATATACTTAACTAATTTAAATATTTAGTAAGACCCCTTAGTTAGTGTAATATTAACTAAGTATTAGCTAATACTATAGCAGTAGTAGTAAAGCTAGATTTTAATTTAGATATGTTTACTAATATTAATAACCCCCTTAAAGAAGATAATAATAAGGTTAAAAGCAGTAATAAATTAGTTAGTATACTTAGTGTTAATAGTAATAATAATAATAATAATATACTATTACTATATCTATTAATAACACTACTATTATAAGTAACTATATTATAATATATATTAATATATTATTATATTATATATAATATTTATACTTAGTAAAGCACTTAGTAAGTACTAAACCCTCTAGTTACCCCCCTATTATTATAAGAAAGAAGGAAGCAGTAGTATAAAGTAGATAATATATCTAGTAGTAGCTCTATTATATTTATAATATAAATTTATATTTATTATATAAATAAAAAATTAAAGGTACTGTTAGAAAGCCCTAATTTAGGGCTATTAATTAATACTACTCTTGTTATTATATATAGTTATTATAGTTATTACTTTAAGAAATAAATAGTTAGTTATACTAGATATTACACCTAAAAGTGATACTATTTGTGATGTGGGTGTAACCCCTCTTTTCTTGGTGCGACCCCCCTTTTTTCGCCCCCTCCGTAGGAGGGGGTGTTTAGATTTCTCAGCTTGCTTACTAACACCCCCGGGTATGTATAAACCGGAGAAGCAGTAGAAATACCCTTCTCACATGGTCTGTGCGGCTGATACGCCACATACGTGGCGTTGTCTCCTGGTACTAGCCACACGAAGCTATTCCAGCTTCACGACGTAGTAATATTTTCTTGTCTCTAATTACGAAAGGTAGCCGGCAGCCTTCTCCGACCTAGCACTTGGAAAGCTGATCACGAACATGGAAGAGATAAGGATAGGGGCGAGATCAAAGGTGCACGGAAACAACAGGGGTCGCGAAGATAGAAAACCAACTGATGGCGGTAATTCCTCCAACGAGCGGGATATATACGGCTTCAACGCTGCAGCCGAGGAGAGACGCCCATGATTGAGATGTTGTTAGTCTGCGCTGGTCGCCGCTGAGTTGATTTATTATGTGATGATGAGCTAAACGTGGATACATAATTGCAGTGCGGCAATTGTGGCTTATATGGGCTCACGACATATCAATAATAACGATAAACTGGTAATCTTGAATGTCTATTGTAGAATGTTCCACAGTGTCTAGGATATAAAATACTCTACTTACACGGCCTTTCTTTTCTCCCTTGATAGGAACAATGTGCCATCTGACGGAACCTCACCTTCAGGAAATGAAGGGTATCTGATATGTCATTACCTTCAACTACTAGAAGGCCAAAAGTTAATCCAAATTCATAGAGCCTTTGCACCTCTGAAAGCATTTTCTCTGCCTTGTGTGCCACACAACAAATTGGCTCCTTCCTTGCTGCAGACTGATCAGATATCCTTGGTCCTTCCCCTGGCAATACTGGCTCTCTTTCGTCCTGTCAATGATCAGAGATAGTAACCCATAATGCGGGCGCGGTTCTACTTACATTTGTCAGGCTTTGGACCACATCATTCGTAGAGAGGGGAGAGGAGGCATTTATCAACAGCGGTACTAGAATATCTTGCATCGCCGTGTGTCCACCTTCCACGGTCGAGGTATGTCCAGCCGTTCCGTGTGAACGATTTGTAGGTAAATTGTTGTCGGGCAATGTAGAACGCTTAGCGTAGTCAATTTCGAGAGTTATATTGCCGTAACTGCTGCCGCCACCGCTGCTGTCGCTGTTATTGTTGGAAACGAGGGCAAGATTACCAGCATAGAGCATCACCGAATCAGTCTGATGTTGATTGAGATAATGGCTGCTTTCTGTCGAGTTTGTGCTGGAATCAGCACCGCTCAGCGGCGACAATAAGGACGGGTCCTGTAGCCATTGATCCAAGATGGATATACCCAAGTCACTCAACAACGGGTCCTCAACGACAATGCCTAACGTATTGGCAACCTCTGTGTCTTTGAAGATATTCTGGGGGTCTGATTGCAACGGGAGAGGCGGCGTGTCTTGTTGATCCCATGCCAAGTTGGAGCTCTCCTGGATAGTGTTGTCGACAGTCTGGAAATCTCGAGTTGGATGCGAAAACAACTCATCGATTCCTTTCTTTCTGTTCCCTGTCATCATGGTAATGTTAGTAGATTATTCTGTATGAAGGACGTTGGTGATTCACTCACGGAAGCGCCGCTGGGCAATACGGTTTTGAAATTTGCGCTTTTCTTTTGTTTTCTGAGTGTTATCCATTGCGGCAGTTGAATTATGGAATTTAACAAGCCTGGATTTGCGCGATTGCCGTACTGATGTTCCTAGAAATTGCCGAGTGTAGATATTAACACTCAACAACGAGGTGCTGATGTCTTAAAGCCAGGATCCAGAGTTACATACAGCGAATGGTCAAAGGATACAGGCCACAGTTTGCCATACTTGCAGGGGTGTATCCAATAGCGGAAGTTCTGTGTGGAGTCGTATGGTATAGATATGGAAGCAGTGAGTAATCCCACGCCGATGTCTGGATCTCCTGTCTGGCAGGTAGCCGAGATAGGCGCAGAAATGGTAAACGTCCGCTAACAAAGCCCCTCTTACTGAGGCTGGCTTCCTGCCCGGCGTGGGCTATTGCGGACGTTAGCTGTTTCCTCGGCATCTCGGCATGACGAAATTGATATAAATGGGTCCTAGGAACAAGGGACTTTAGAAACAGCTAATGGGATGTTTCCCCGTCTTCGAATACCTACGACAGCCCCCTGCTTTTACCCACTTTATAATAGCTTAGCTTCCCCCATACGCCCAAGCGACCTTCCCCATCCGGATCACTGCACCGGGCCTCATGCTGAATGGAGCCAACCTATATTTCAATTAATGCTCCCAGTACCAGTATCTCCATCTTCATGTTCAGGTTAAATCACAGCTGAAGTCTTCCACTGCTACCGCCGTTCTTTGCTGTCTTCAGACAAGCCACACGCATTGTGATGCGAATCCAACCATGCATCTCCCAATCGCACTGTTCTCCCTCTTCGCCGCTTCTTCTTCGATTTTGTTCCTGATATTGCTCCCTCATCGCATATGGACACTGCGTAAAGAGACAGTGAAAACTGTTTCGGGACAGCACCGCTCCTATGCCAAGCAGGTGTGTCACAGTTATCTAGGGAGAGCTTGCGTGGTCACAGCTAACCCTTAATCGTAGCTTCTCGCTGTTCTTCTGGTAGCTGCTCAACTCACTATTGTGATTGAGACACTATCTAACCCTTCTCGTCCTCTTATTACGGCTCTGTCTGTCACTCTGTCGTTCATTGCATACGTGGCCCTCTTTCCATTGCTTCTATTGGAGCATGCTCGTTCTACCCGCCCTTCAGACCTTGCAGTCATCTACCTACTTGCTTCTCTGGTATACGATGCTGCCGTGCTTGGTGAACAGGCCTCCAAAAATGGAATCATGTCTCTGACACGGGCAGAATTCCTTCCAACAGCGATAAGTTTGTTTGTGAAGTTATGCCTACTGATTACTGAGAGCCGAGGCAAGGGGAAGATCCTGCAGGTGTCAGGGACCAAATCATCTCCAGAGCAACTGGCAGGTGTCTTGAGCCGGACCTTCTTTTGGTGGATCAACCCGATCCTAGCCCGAGGGCATACTGATATCTTGGATGAGGACAGCCTGCCATTGCTAGATAGCAAGCTTGGGTCGCGTATGCTTCGGCGACAGGCTTTGAGAGCCTGGGATCAAAGATGTATGTGCCCCGCAGGTTGAGATGATATCGCAAATGTATCTCTGTAGCATCTAACAATTACACAGCAATGCCGGAGACCAAATTGACTCTTCCGAGGGTTCTGGTTGCGAGCCTCCTCTCTCCTTTCCTTGCACCCATTGTTCCTCGTCTCTTCCTTATTGTCTTTCGGTATGCTCAACCAGTCCTCATCAGCACTGTTGTGCGCTATTTAAGCACCGCGGTCGACGAAGTCTCTCCAGAATCAGGCTATGCCTTGATTATAATGGCTGTTGTTGTCTATGTTGGCCTAGCGGTGAGTTTTCGAGCCAATTGTCTCCTATCCTTTGACGTCCAAACGACTCATATCGCAACAGATCTCTAAAGCCGTTTATAACCACCGTCTCAACCGACTGCAGACTATGGTCCGAGGTGCAGTGGTTGGCCTCATCAACCGGAAGTCGCTAGACCAGCAGTCTAGTGGTTACAGCGACGCAAAAGCCGTGACATTGATGAGCACAGATGCCAACGGCATTTGCCAGAGTGCCAGGTTCTTCCATGAGACATGGGCCCAGGTGATCGAAGTGATAGTGGGTATCACGATGCTAGGTAAAGAGGTGGGCTGGCTTTGTCCGGTTCCTCTTGTCATTATATTCTGTGAGTGTTTTCAAGACATCAACCAGTTATATAGAATTAATTGCTGACCTTTATATTAGTTTGTTCCAGGATGAGTCGCTACGTGGCTAAGAACCTCCAGAGCAAGCAAAAGGGTTGGAACGAGTCTACCCAAAAGCGCCTTGCCATGACGAGCTCAATGCTTAGCTCTATGAAAGGCTTGAAAATGCTGGGTGTCACGGCCTACACTGAATCCATAATTAACTCCCTGAGGCTCCAGGAGCTTGATATGAGCAGCAGGGTTAGGTGGATGATGGTTGCTTACAATGCCAGTGGTACGTTCTTTGTTTTACAGTTCTATATCAGCTTTCCTTCTGACATTCCAAGCGAATGCACTGGGGATATTTACCCCTATCATCACCTTTGTGCTCTTTGTCCTGATTGCCCGAATCAACGGGTCTGCATTGGACACGGAGACTGCATTCACAACAACGGCACTGCTGGGATTGGTGACCCATCCCGCTAACATGATAATGTCCATCGTGCCACAAGCAATTGGTTCACTAGCTGCTTTTGAGAGGATCCAGCTATACCTCTTGCAGCCGCCTCGACACGACCACAGACAAGATCTTGAGGAGGTTGATGGTGGTTCCACCTGCATGTCTGCAGCGGTCACTATAGATAACGTGGATATCCAGCCAGGTCCAAAAGCCCCTCCGATTCTCACTAAAGTCAGCATTGTAGTGAAACGGGCATCAGTGATCGTTTGCTTGGGGCCAACAGGGAGCGGTAAAACAACACTTGCTAAAGCTATCCTAGGTGAGATAGCACCAGTACGTGGAAGCATATCCGTCACTTCAAAAAGAATAGGCTATTGCGATCAGTTCCCTTGGCTACCTAGCGGAACTCTCAAGTCAGCCATATGTGGGTACTCATCCTATGAGCCGAGTTGGTATGAGGAGGTCGTTCGTCTCTGCTGTCTCGAAGAGGATATCTCATTACTTCCCGACGGACATGAGACCATGATAGGAAGCAGAGGTCTGAATATCTCGGGGGGGCAACGACAACGTGTGGTGCGTATAACCTTCACCCATGCTCTTATCTCTTCCCCTTCTCCAAAACAATGAAAGGAAAACAGTTGGTCAGTAACTCACTTAACTCACTACATGGATTTAGGCTCTTGCACGTGCTATATATGCGCGTTGTGATATCATGATTTTCGACGATGCTTTCAGTGCTCTTGATGGTAAAACAGAAAGCCGTATTGTTTGGAACCTTCTGGGGCCTGATGGTCTCTGCCGAACGATGGAAACTGCTGTGCTTGTTATAAGCAACTCAGGTAAGCACCATACTTGTTCTTATAGCACTCTATGGACCCTGATATGATTTTAGCTTCCTTTTTTCATTTGGCCGATGAACTTGTTGTCCTTGGAGATAACACAGTCAAATACCGAGGGACATTAGACAATCTGCCACAAAGCCCAGAGCAAATCCTCAAAGTCAATACCGACGCGGCAATGAATGATGGCAAGAACAAGGAAATCCACGCAGATAAAACTCTACAGAACCAGGAACTAAGGGTAGCTGATGCTATTTCTGACCTGAGTCGGGCAACAGGGGATATTTCCCTCTACAGTACGTGTATTATTTTGCCTCTCTAGTTAATGTCTATTTCTAATCAGCTTGGTAGGTTACTACATTAAAGCTGTTGGGTTCCGAAAATTTCTTACACTCTTAGCGTGCACATCGTGCTATTCATTCTTTGTCACATTTCCACAGTATTGGTTGCAAAAGTGGACCGAAGCGCCTCCTTCTCAGACAAACTTCTATGTAGGAGGCTATTTGATTGCATCTCTGTTGGCGTGGGTTTCTACCAATGGCTCTATGTGGTGAGTGTCAGAATGAATATCTCTTGTCCTACTGAGCAACTGTTGCTAACTCTGGAAAAGGTCGACACATATCCTTATTGCACCCAGGTCAGGAGCTGAATTGCACCGCCGTCTGATTTCAACTGTTACAGGGTATATCCTCCCTTATTGTCTTGTCGCATTAAGAATTTAGCTTATTTGTATTAGGGCGTCACTTGGCTTCTTTTCCACGACTAATACAGGAGTTATACTTAATCGGTGCGTGCCTGACTTTGAACCTCAGAAACTGACCAAGACTAACGCTGAATGATACACTGATTGATTATAGATTCAGCCAAGATCTAGAACTAATTGATAGGCAACTGCCACCAGCTATCTTAGCCCTTTCTAATCGTAAGAACAATCCTATTATTTACAATCACTTGCTAATACCTTGCAGAGGTCTCCAAGCTTATTGTACAAACTACTCTGCTTTTCAGTGCGCAGAAATTCATGTCCCTTACACTTCCCTTTTGTCTGGCGATTGTCTATTTGATCCAGCGGGTATATCTACGCACATCCCGACAACTTCGACTCCTTGATCTGGAGGCGCAATCTGCAGTTTATTCAAGCTTCCTGGAATCGGTATGATATTCCGACACACCTTGGTTGAGAAACTTGACTGACGGTTATGCTATCAGGATGAAGGAATAATAACAATCCGCGCCTTTTCCTGGCAAAACAAGATTGAAGATATGAACATCAGCTCCTTGGATAAGTCCCAGCAGCCAGCCTATACTCTCCTCTGTCTACAACAGTGGCTTGGACTAGTACTCGACCTTCTAGTTGCAGCCATTGCGACGATCTTAATCGTCCTTGCTCTAATGTTAAGGGGGTCGACAACAGCCGGGCAGATTGGAATGGCTATGAATCTGGTCCTGTTCGCAAACACAACTCTCCTGGGTCTTGTGACCTCCTGGACTAACATGGAAATCTCCCTTGGCGCCATGTAAGTTTCTTTATATTTCCTGCCACAGGTCCAACAAGCTTATTTGACTATCCGCTGATTAACTGGCAGTTCCCGACTCAAGGACTTAGAAGCGAAGACTCCCAGAGAGGACAAGCCATGCGAATCTTACAGTCCAGTAGATGCATGGCCTTCCTCTGGCATTGTGGAATGCGATGATATCTCGGTGGCATACAAGTAAGACATTCTCTTCACATACACATCTGTCCACACATCTAACTTCCTGTCAAAGACCAGGGATTTTAGCCCTCAAAAACGTCACCATCAAGGTCTCGTCAGGACAGAAGCTCGTGGTCTGCGGTCGTACTGGCAGGTATGTAGGCTCTGGGAATCTATGAAATTGCGTCTATTATCTCTAGTTAACAGGTGATCCGAAATTCTAGCGGCAAAAGTACTCTGTTATTGACGCTCTTGCGCCTTTTGGATACTACTTCTGGCAGAATTAAGGTGGATGGACTTGATATAAGCCTGATCCCTCGCTCTTTGATCAGGGAGCGATGCTTCATCACAATTCCGCAGGACCCATTCGTTTTTGGGCAAGCCACTCTTCGGTTTAATCTTGATGTGAGAGTTCTATAATACCTTTCTTTAATGTTGAGTTGTCAAACATTTGGCTGACGATCTTTCTACACAGTTAGCTGCTTCCCTTCCGGACGAAGATATTGCTGCCGCTTTGCAGAGAGCTGGCCTGTGGTCCCATTTCACTTATGGTAGGCCAAATCTATCACCCACAGAAACGAAATCTATACTGGACAAGACGATGGCGGACCTACCGGGTATGTCCGCCGGCCAGATGCAGCTCTTCGCTTTGGCACGCGCACTTGTAAGACTGCAGGTTCTGAACCCTCGACAAAGTCCTTCGGATGCGGCTTTAAGCCGTCCCCATCGCATGCCGGTTCTTCTTCTTGATGAAGCTACATCATCTCTTGATCCAGAGACAGAGGCCGTGATGCAAAAGGTATTACACCAGGATTTTACCAAGCGGGGTCACACTGTTATTGCCATTACACACAGGTTAAGTGGAGTAACGAAAAACATGCATCCAGATCAAGACATGGTTGCTATACTGTCAGAAGGAAGATTGAAGATGGTTGGCAGAGCGCAGGAGTTCATAGGCGATATAAGTATATAAGAGTGTCCTACATGTAAAGTCGTGATACCTAAGAGGAATAGCCACAGTTATAGTTGTTATAACTCAAATACCCCCCTTCTGCACCACCCCCACATTTGCACCATCATCACCACCATCATCACCACCATCATCACCACTTATTTCACTATCTCTGCCGCCCACCTATATGTAACTTTCGGCCTCGCTAGGTAATTCAGATGCCCCGGATTTATCTAGACTATCTATATTACTAGTATCTAGACTTTAGGCCTAGATTATATCCTCTATAGTAGTAAAGGTGCTATTAGGAGATAGTTAGACCTTTTTCCTCTTATATAACTATATATTATCTAACTAGGCCTATAATAAGTTAACCTACTTTTCTAGAAGGGCTACCCTATATACCTACTTATTATACCCCTTTTAGACCTTTTAAAATAAGTAATAAATAGTATAGGTATCTAACCTATTTTAGTCTATTTAGTTAAATAGTTATAATTAATCCTATAGATTAGTAGATCTATAAGGGGTTAACTATTAGATAATAAATATAGCTTTATCTTACTATTAGCTACTAGGCTGCTAGCTAGGCTAGCTTTATTAGGCTTTAGTTACTATTAAGTTAGATAAGAGGTATCTTATATATATAGGCTATAATCTAGCTAACCTCTAGCTACTACTAATATTCTTACTTATAATAGCTGCCTTATAGGCCTTAAAATAACACTCTAGAAATACCTTTTTACTAGCTATAGTTAAATCTATAACCTAGTTATCTAGATATTTAACCCTTCTATAGTAGGCCTGCTTTAATAGGCTAAAAATAGCTATATCTAGAGGCTAAAGGACAGCAGAGGAGTATAGTAGTAAAAAAAAGAGATATATATAATACTATTAGTATTACTATATAAAATTAATAGTTATATAGCTATAATACCTATTAAGGATTAATAGTCTAGCCTCTTCTAGCTAGGTAAGTGTAGTTAATAAGATAAAGACTTTCTCTAGCTATTTAAAAGTAGTATTATTAGTTATCTAGCTATTATTAAAGTAAGTAAAGTACTATTTTTTATATCTTAATAAGTTAGATTAGTTAGATAAGAACTACTAGGCTTAGACTAACTTACCTTTATATATAACTAATAAGTATAAGGATCTCCTATTAGTAAATATATACTTAATAAGAGATATTTATACTTTAGATCCTAGCTGCTTTTTCTAGATATACTATAATTTTAAAGAGCCTATTACTAGCCTATTAGCCCCCTTACCCTCTATAATACTAGTCTTATTTATATTCTATTAGTTAGATAAATAAATTCCCTAGATAGTAAAGATATTAGTTAGATAATAAAAGAATTCTTTAATAACCTTAGAAGAATAGGCTGCCTATTAGTAGGTATTTATTAATCTAGAGCCCTTAGTTCTAATAAATAGATTTTACTACTAGAATTAGGCTATCTACCTCTTACTAAGAGGAGGATACCTATTACCTATTATACGCTCTACTAGGCCTTTTACTTATTAATAATTAAGGGACCTGTCTAAAGAATCTTAAAGGGATATATAGGCAGCTAATATCTCCTCCTAGCTTAGGGATAGTCACTATAGATAGGCATAAGTAGTGCCCTTTAATTACCTACTATAAAGCTAGTGTTAAAGAGTATAGTATAAGATCCCCTATTTACAAGCTGCCTAGCAGATAAAGTAACTACTATTAATATCTAGAAGTGCCTATTAGAGCTAATCTTTAGTATATTACTTTATAATAGGTTAAGGAAGGTATACTAAAAATTTAAAGCGATTTAGATAACTATAGGAAATATTATAATAGTTTAAAGAAAGTAGTGATGTTAATAAAGGAGGAGAGTTTAGGTGGTGCAAAAGCAGGGGTAGTGCAGAAGCGGGGTATTTGAGTTAGAGGGGTAACACATAAAGTCAATATAGCAAAAAGGTACTGAATGTAGTAGCCAGGGTTTCTAGTAGCAATAGGAGCTGTTAGAGGTAATGTAGGCCAAAAGCTAGCTAAATAGAGCCAGCTAAGTGCTTGCCCTAGATAGGGTCTCTAGCTGTCTAGCTAACCTAACCTATTAATGTGTACTTATTTATTATTCTCCTATGTAATTATTTTATTAGTATTCTCTATAGTTGTCGTCTCAATTAGTGTAAATCTATCCTTATGTTACTGCCTAATAAGCTATAGGCAATGTTACCCCACTAGACAGGATAGGGTGTAGTATTATAGCCTCTATATAAGAAGGATAGTTATTGTCATAGGACGGCAACCCCTACCCACCCAAAATGGCGAGAGGCCATGTAAGTGGAGTTAACAGCAATGCTTACGAGGAACACTTGAGCATTGGTGGATCTTTTGGCGATCTGGCTAGATTGGTTAAAGCCCACTGGAAGGTCTATGGGCAGGACGTCACTGTCGGCGTACTGTTACAATTACCTAGGTAATTGTTAGGGTTAACCCTAACAACAATAAGAGTTATTAGTAACAGTTAACATTACAACAGAAAGGAATAGAAGGATCTCATTAGTGTTAGGTATAAGCGCCTTAGGTTAGTGCGTATATGTCCTGCTTGCATTCTAACAGGCTATTATCTCCTACAAATAGCTACGTAGCATCCCTTGTTTCAAAAGATATCATACGACCCATTTAATCAAATTCGGTCTCAAGAAAACGTGTTATATAATTCCGCCTTCTTCAGCAATATCATCTTTTTAGGATCCGGAATGCTCTAGTTGACAGAGTCAGCGGGTCAAGGGTTGGTATCCTTGTTTCTCGCTAAACTTACCATTGGCCCCGACACCACATTAGGATATCTCTCTCTAACGCCCTCCACATTTTTCAAATCATAGTTCAATAAGATCGTCGCCAATATCATCTTGATCTCGTTGACGGCAAAGAAGCGGCCTGGACAAGCGTGACGCCCATATCCGAAAGTTAGGCTTGACTGGCCTACACTGACGAACTGGGCGTGAGCGGCTACCTTGGCCTGTTTGGTTCCGGTTCCGTGTTCTTTTTTTTCTTGACATGATTTATAGAAGCGTAATGGGTTGAACTTGTTTGCCTCTAAAAAGAAATTCTCGTCTGTATAGATGCCGATTGAGGGCACTTCAATAACGGAACCTCCGGGGATGATTTGACCATTAGAGAGAGTAAAAGGTCTAAGGACCTTCCGTTGGAAGGACGCTATCACAGAACTTAGCCAAGAGATAGAAACAACAGGATATAGGGGGACATACCAGCACTTAGAGGGTAGCATCGCATACATTCCTTAAGAAAGCTATCAACCTTCTTCATGTTTTGCATGGCGTCGTTAGTATAAACGCCCTTAGTTTTAGCTATAGCTTGCTGTATATCCTTTCGAAGAACAGTAACAAGCTCTGGCATTACTGCTAGGGTGTATAGTCTTATCAATAAAGTTATTGGATACTATCCTATAAGAAAACGTTCCTATGAATGGAATGACTTACGCGTTGGTTATTGTAACTGTCGTTGTGTGAATAGCAGCAACAATTATAGCCAATTGACATCTTGCAAGCTCTCTGTCCTCCTTCTGGCCAAACTTCTTCTGAGATTCTATCATCCACTGTAGCATATCATCTGGCTTCTGATAGTTAGGGGTTTTAGCAGCCTCCCGCCTTGCTTCAACAATTTGTCTCAGAAACATATCTGCCTCAGCAACACGCTGTTGTACTCTTTTAACCTCGGGCCTACCTGCCGCTAGAAAAGGTCGCATATGTGGCTGAATGCTAGAGACTGCTTGTATCGCCATCATAAGATCAACAGTATAGCTGACTGAGATGTTAACATAGTCTTTGTTTCGACAGAGCTCAGGTCCAACAAAAGCACGACCAGAAGCCATTGCAACAATGCGCATCAGTTTATGCACAACGGGAACCTCAGTCCATTCAACGGACTCTGGAAGCTCGATTCGTATAGCATTAACGACCTCTTCGTAGATGATGGGATTAATCCGAGCTGTAATAGTGTAAAGGTAAGCCTTTACCCTAAACATAGACAGAGACGAGGGCAGGATGTAATAACGCACTAAGAGCTGGTGTTAAGGCTGTCTTGATTGTATAAACAAGTAGGCTAGCGTCTGTTAAGACACCAGTATATTTTGATTGCATTGACTGTTGTAAAGCGTCAACATTGAACCTAAAGGTGTCCACTAGAATTGGCAACGGCTTCCATCTAACCTCTTCTATAGCTTTTTGAACACTTAGGACATCATCTGGAAGACTCTTCAACTCGTCCATAAACTTAGGAGCCATGACAATGTTTGCTGATTCTTAATGTTATCATTAGCAAACACCTAAATTTACTTTGATACTATCTTGTCACATACTTGTTGATGTAGTGATACGAAAAGCCTGTTCTTGAAACTTGGAAAGAGAGCTGTTAGACAGTCGCTTGCTTTAAGCTATTATTTTGGTCTACCAACCTTCTTATATCCTTCCAAGTACAGATTAAAGGCTTCTCCGCTCAGAAACATCTTTCTGCGCTTCTCTTGCCCCCCGTATTGTGCCCCAACTATGGGAATATTGGCTGAATTGTCGCTCCTAAGGGCCATATGTAGAGTGAAGGCAAGCACACAGGTAAGTAACGTTATTATAGCTACAGGCCATTGATAGGCTGCCTTGGCCGGAAGTGTACCATCTGAAGTCGGCGATGATGTAGTGTTCATGTTGATGATACGGATTATAAGATATTATGCTGTGTTGGGATTGCAATGAGAACGTGTCTGCCGGATGATCAGAAATAGAAGGGGACAAAGGTTTCCAATCATTGATATATTCCGCCAGACCTGGCTCGTTCTCTCAATATGGCCTGTGTCAAGAAACCTGCCAGGTCGCCCTGCTAGAGGAAGTTAGGGTATTCACAGTCAAAACCTGTACTGAAGGAAAGATGGATGGTTATAAGTAAAGGCTAAACAAAACAGCCAGGGTACTATAAAGGACGTTTTATGCCCCAATCTTGGAAGGAATAGAGTATTTCTAGGTATCACATTTTCACCCTAATCTTTCTTTGTCATGATTAACTAGGAAAAAATAATTTTGATAAACAACAGTATGAATAATGATCTTGTATAAGCAGCGCAAGGGGACTTATCAATAGAAGCAATGACCTTGGGCAAGAGGGTTCTGCAGTGGGGAAGTTAGACCTACCAAATTAGTTAAAAGTTCTAAGATGAAATTTCACTTTTAAGAATAGCTGGTGCATATGCATGTAAACTATAGTAAACATGTAGATAAGTTTTGTAGTCGTAAGCTTAGTTGTTATGAAACAAGCTACGTGACAAACCAAGTGTGGAGCATTATTATCCTATTGCGTGCCACCATAACTCATGTTTTGATTCCTAACAAAATCCACATTCGCTGCGAAAAATTGTATTTCTTGCATTCTCTATTTGATTAGACTTTCTAGGTCTTTATTTTCATCGCCCTAACCACGATGGGATGTTGACGAATTCAGTTGATTTGGTTATCCTTATTGCTATTACGCTAGCATCCTACGTGCCGGCCTTCTAGTATTATCAGTTATGAGGCCTTAGACACACATGGAATTAGGAGTAATGAATCCACACAAGTAGGCTCATCGTCTCTGAATATGTCTATACCTACTTTAGCCTGTCGCCTAGTGCTACACACCGGTGTAAGCATGGTCGATGGATATTGACGTGTCACATATTACAAGCGTACACAACGGCTCCTCTTTAGGATGCTTTCCACTACAGTAAGATCAACCTTGATTGACTTCAATTGGCTCCACCTGTGTTCTCACGTATACGTATTTGTCGTGTTATTTGCTTGGTTGTTCTGTTTCACTATCTCATGTTATTTTCAGACCCGTCGTGCAATTGGCCCGGGACCTATTGCAATCCAACCCCTCAGCTAGGTCCGGGATGGCTACCTGTGGAACTATATCAGGTGTTCAATAGGAAAGCTAATACGTTCAGCTGATACATCCACTAAGTTAGAGAGCGTCTCAGATAGGTTATCACATATAACTTAACTCTAAATAAGATTTCAGGATGCTAACACAAAACTCAGCTGTCAAGCTTTCTCCAAATGGGAGACAAGCTGATGACAGACTTACTTTGTAGACTCCCATTTTTATCATTTTATGTCCTCATTCTCCTAGCACCTGTTCTTCAACAAGAGCTTTTTTTGCAGAGTGGTAGCTATACGACGCTGGCAATATGTTTGGTTTCTTCTCGGAACAGGCGAAGGCGCCGCAGCGTGTGCCTACCGATCGCGTTGTCCCCGTGGGATTCTTCGACGATACCATACTCTTCAGGACATTCGTCATGTACACAATGTGGGTGTTCGACGATGCGCTGGATGTCCAGAGGCTCCGTAGTGCTCTTGAAAGTGTGGTTGGCCGCCCTGGCTGGAACAAGCTAGGAGCCAGAATCAGACGGAATGTGAGACACATACAATCTCAAGACATTCAAGAGGGCTTGACCTCTGACTTGTATTTGGGATAGGACTGTGGAGAGCTTGAACGCCATATTCCGGAAACCTTCTCCCCAGAACGTCCTGCCATTAGTTATAACCACCTGGACCTCAGCGATACAGCTGTAGAGGACCATCCATCAGGTTCGCGAATTCCTCACCCGCCGCCTGGTGGTGGACCTGCGATTGTAGGAGACCCAGGTGATCTAAATGACCTTGTTTACGGCCCCGGGATAGCGACTGAGCTAAACGACTATCTCTACCAAGATCGACCCGAGCTTGGCCTTCGAACTGTATCTTTCAAAAACGCAACAGTTATTGTGCTGTACTGGATGCACTTGTCGTTTGACGGCGTCGCTGTGAAGTGTCTCTTCGACGCCTGGAAGCTCGCTCTCGAAGGCAGAAGTGGAGAAATCCTTAAACCAGTTGCGGCTGAAGAATACCCCTTGGAGAATTTTGGGGAAAATCCAATCGAACCTCACGTGCTGACCGACCGTCGTCTGTCTAGGCTTGGTGTGGTGTCATGGGTGGCCCGAAATATTTACAGTCATGTTGTCTCCAACAAAGAGCATCGAATGGTATGCATGCCGGCCGAGTATCTCAAAAGTCTGAGGGAAACAGCCCTAGCGGAACTCTCTGCTGCGGCAAATTCCGATGGAACAACGACAATGCCGTTTCTGAGCGAGGGTGATGTTCTTATGGCATGGGTAACTCGCCTGGTAATGTCAAATGTCCTAAAAGACTCTAAGAGATTAGTAAGTGGTACATATCCCAAGAAAACAGAGGCGTATGCTAATAGACTTGTTTTTCTTTCACAATCAAGGTTGTTATTCAACAGGCGTACCAATGGCGGTCTGTTCTCAAGGATCTTATACCCCCCGACAGGCCATTCCTGAGCAATTGTGTCGGCACCGTAGTGACTCTAATGCCCGCCAAGGAACTCATCCAGAGGCCGCTCAGCTATCTGGCATCTCGAATTCGTCAAGCAGTTACTAACCAAGGCTCTCGTGGGCAAGTAGAAGCATACGCCTCGCTTGTCCGACAGGATCCCAGAAACAAGGCGCCCCCGTTTTTCGGCGAAAGTTCCATGCAGTTCATCTCATTCACCAACGCTCAAAAAGCAAACTTCTATGGATTTGACTTCTCTGCTGCTACTAAAAAGCCACGTAGTACGTCTCTGTTGCCGTCTTACGTGCAAATCCTTCACGGACCATATAACTTCACCAATGGAGTTATTATCTTGGGGAAAGACGACAAGGGTAGCTACTGGCTGTCCGGGTACGGGATTAAGGGGTTCTGGGGTTTGATAGAGAGAGAGACAGCGGAAGAAAATATTTGCATGAGGCTCAAGTCGCGATTATAGCAATGCAACAACTCTCCTACTTGAATTCAAAGATTAAGTCAAACTACCCACTTTCCGCCCACCCCTGCATTCCGCCCACCCAGAAAATGCCGCCCAGCCACCCACTTTCTAGATAGCCTCAATTTTCAAAGTGCCACAACATTTTCCATTTTTCTCCAAATCACTTCATTTTTTCAGAATACCTTCCTCATTACCCAATAACCAAATATACCAAAGTTAAGATTAATCAGGCACTTACTGCTATTACAAAGGGTATATCTCTTCGTAATGCCTCTAAGCGATAGGGTATACCACAATCAACACTTCAAGACCGGAAGAACGGCACCCAAAAGAGGGCTGCTGCCTTTAAAGACCTCCAGCAACTATCTCATGCCCAGGAGGCCAGCCTAGCCAGTTAGGTGTAAAATCAGGCCGATCTTAGGCTTCCTCCAACCCATCAACAACTAAGGGATTTCACCCAGCGCATCCTCCAAGCCATAGGAGATACCTAACCTCTAGGAAGGCAATAGGTAAATGCCTTCCTACAAAGGCATCCATCTATTAAGGTCCAGAGAAGTTGCTCTATTAATTCTAGGCGTGTTAATAGGGCATCTACTAAGGTTATTAGGAATTAGTTTAAATATCTCGCTATGCCTCATATTACTGCTATTAACCTAGCTAACAGATATAATATAGATAAGACTAGCATCCTTAAGGGCAAGGGGGATAATAGCCTAGTGCTAGGCAGGGCTGCTACAAGGGCAGTAAGGAAAAAGCAGCCTAGATCATAAGCCTAGGTATCTATTATTAAGTGTATATTTACTAAAGGTAATACTATCTATCCCTTAGTTATATATAAGGGTAAAAAGGTCTAGTAGCAGTAGTTCCCTCTAAATCTTAATCTATATAAGGGATAGGAATTTATAGTAATAGAGAATAGGTAGACTACTAATAATACTACTATTAAGTAGCTATAGAGGGTCTTTCTTCCTTAGACTAAGCCTTCTTAACCCTATAAGGCTAGACTACTTATCTTAGATAGGTATAGGAGCTATATAATAATAGAGTTTATATAGTTATACTATACTAATAATATCTATCTCTTATTCTTACTACTATATACCTCTTATATCCTCTAGCCCCTTAATTAAGTAGTCTTTAGTCTTATAAAAGCAGCCTATTATAAGGAGCTTAGATACCTTATATAGTAAAATAATTTAACTATTATTAGTAAAAGGTTATTTATATCTTACTACTATAAGGCTTACTAGGCTAGGCTAACTACTAGTAATATTAAAAGTAGCTAGAAATACACTAGGTTATAGCTAGTTACTATTACTAAGCCTCTAATAAGCTCCTATCTATTACTAGATATATTAACACTATTAATACTATTAACACTAATTAATAAGAGGGCAAAAGGGGCTTATAATGCCTATACTAGCTAGGACTTTAAGGAATATTTATCTGCTGTTAAGTAGTCTACGCTAAGGAAGGTTAAAGACCTTAAGGATTAATTACACCTATTTAGCTAACTAAAGTAAAACATTACTACATAACGCTAGCTCTTTAGAAAGGTTAAAAAAGGCTTCTAGTAGTAGTCCTTTTAATTAGCTACTGCCTATTATTAAATAGAGCTTCTACAGGCCAAAATTAATAACAGTACAGCAAGGAAAAGGAAGGCTGTTTATCTGGATCTAAATGTTAAATTTGTAATAATTAGAGATGTACGGAAGGCGTAAATTGAGGTTGGCGAGGCTGAAAGTGATACAGCTAAATCCAGTGCATCAGAATTACCTAGTAAGGCCAAAAGCTGTATTATCGTGGCTTCAAGAGGTAGTTGATAGTTATTTGAATAAAGTGGTGTTGGTTGTGATGGCTTCGATTTTAGGTGGGCGGAATGCAGGGGTGGACGGAAAGTGGGTAGTTTGACTTAAGTTATATACTAAAAAGCTATAGAGACCTATTGTCGGTGCCAGCGGTGTCTTCTCGACCACCATGCTGACTTACCTGCTCCTAGACGCCTGCGCCAGGGCAGAGAATGTAGACGCCTTGGAACTCACGATCCGCCACCTTGAACATGCGCTCCAACTACGTCCACCCCTGCACGTCCGTCTGCTGGAACACAGCGCGCCCCTTGCCTGGCGCTGCCTGTGCATGCCTCATTACAACGTCTTGGGCTTCCGGCCTCAGTGTAAGATCAGCAAAGGCAACATTGCAGCCTTTGGCCAGGAGTAGTGCGGCGAAGGCTAGGTTGATCCCACTGCTTGAGCCTGTCACAATCGCACTCTTGCCTTGCACAGACCTGGACATTTACAAAAGTGCGAAACGAACAGATACAGTCGACAGTTGCAATGCTCAACCCGCCTTTCCTCTTTAACTCAGACAAGACTTCCAACTAAATTAACCCCACTTGTACAAGGCAGCACCACTGACTCATCTCAGCTCTAGAGTAGGCTCATTATCTGACATACTTGCTCTCTCCAAGAACCGCGCGGACCGCGGCTACTCCCACCCACTGTCGGCTTGACAGGCGCAGGATGATCGGTGTGGGGGGATTTCCAGCCGTCATAGAAAGATTGGAACTGAGCGCCTCCGTTGCGGCGACTGCGGAAATTCGAATCTGGCCGGATCGGATAGATTCGAATAAAACAATCAAAGAATTGTATCCGCTTATATGCATCCAACCAAAGTGAACAGAGGCACAATAGCAGTCCGGTCGGCAGGCTCTGCTCTGCCGCCGGGCCGTAATCGGTTGCACCCCTTGCCACTAAAATTGCATGCTCGGACCGCGCGGGCTGACTGCAAGCCCATGCCATTGTAAGGCAACACTACAACAGCTGGACGATGGTCTGCTGAAGGCGACCTCGAAGCAATTGGCCTGACGTTTAGAGGCCATACTTTCACACGCTTCGTCAGGCTATACATCCGTCCTACCGGCAAACCATTTCGCGTCCGCGGCTCTATAGGGCACTGAGTCTTTGTTGTTAGTGATCGTCCGTCGGTTGCTGCTGTCGCAAAGCTCGGAAGCCGTCACCTTGGTGTTGAAGAGAGAGCCCTCACTGAAGTCAAGCACCTTGTCTATGTGCTCGAAGTATAAGCTTGCTGGCGGTGGGGAACTTTTCGGTTCGGTTCCAAGTCTGCGTCACCTCGGGGATGGATAATACCTAACTCGTAGAAGCGTACATACGGGTCGACCCGTGCCCCTGGGTAGTAAACTAGTCCCACCTCTAGACTCCGCTAAAACCTGAGGCTAGCTCGATGAGCAGCGCCTTGAGGTCCTACCCGCGCAGCTTATGCAGCAGATAGCATCCCGAGAAGCCGCCGCCGACGGTGACGACGTATTGGTATTGCGGCCATCCTGCGCAGATCTGGGTATCTGCGACGCGAGGTAATTGTTGGAGAAGTTTTAGAATAGTCTAGTTGTGGTTGTAGTTGTTGAAACAAGTCACATAATCAACACCGCGTATTCCATACCCGCGGTTGGCTTCTCTGCGAAACGACTGTACCCCAACTGGCCCGGGTTGGTGAGCTTCCAGGGCTTCATGCACCACTCGAGCTTCTGGCCACGCGAGGGCGTCGACTACGTCGGAAAGCGAGTGTGCATGGTTGGCTCGGTGGGCACGGGTAGCACAGAAATCCAGATGTCGCAGGAGATGTCTAAGCAGGCGGCGGAGCTGACCATCTTCGAGCGAGCGCTCAACATGGCGCTGCTGCTGCCCAACCAGAAGCTCGCAGCAGATAAACAGGCTGCGCGTAAGGAAGACTACCCAGGCATTTATCGGGCCAGGCTCGAGAGCACAGGCGGATACGACTTCAGGGCCGGTGCCATCGGCACCATTGACCACACGCCGGGACAGCGCGAGGCAAACTATAGCCCTTTCTTGAAATAGTACTTATAGAAAAGCCTAGGCATATACTTTTAAGCACATCCAACAAACCAACCGCAAATTGAGAGTCTCCGGCCGAGCAGCCTTCACTGACAGGGGCAAGAGCCTGAATGTTATGTCCCGTTGGGAAAAATTCATCATCATCGCACCCGATCCCCGAGCTAGCATCAAAGTCGCTGCACTACAAATCATTGGATGTACAAGTCTTGTCTAAGAGTTCTATCAGGACACATAAACTTACGCAAAATGAATTTAGGCCAAGGAACTTGCAGTCGCCAGAAGAATCAGCTGTGCCACCAGCACAGCAGCGGAACCCTGTGACAGGGCTGCTAATGTCTCCAGAAAAGTCTTGAGCAGCAACCATTCCAGCCAGAACAGCCAGATTTGCAAAAAGGATTGTAGCGGCGCGCATTATAGCGGTGTGTAAGAAACGGGCGTGATGTAGTATTAAGAAGAAAAAGACTGAGAAATGACAGTAGAACAACCAGTACATACAAGGGAAAAGACTAAGGCTCATAAAGATAACATGAATGACGGCATGGTTGTAAAGAGGACCACACTTCTTATACGTCTTTACCAGGCGTGTAATACAAAGAGGAATGCTTTCGACATCATAGGTAGAAATGAATATTAATACAGTACAAAGTAGTACAAAGTAGCTAGGGACAGCAGCAACTAGGCCGTATTAAGGTTGGCTAATCACGCGCTTCTTAGGGTTTATAACCCTTAATTTTGAACTGTTACATAAATAAAAAAGGAGGGTAAATAGAATTGGTGGTCTCGGCAAGACAAGCCGAAGTTAGGAAATCTTGATACAGTACAAAGTGGCTAAGAACAGCAGCAACTAGGCCGTGTTGAATGAAGTTGGCTAACCACGCGCCTCTTCGGGTCTATACTCTTTGATTTCGAATTGTTACATACCTATCTATAAAAGGAGGTAGATTTGGTGGTCGCGGCAAAATAAGCCGAGGTCGTGGTGCTAAGCCAGTCATGTTCTTCCCGCGCATCTTCGACCCATGATAATACTGATTGTTCTGTTGTGACATGGATGTTAAGAGTTTAGGGACTTGCATGATTTACTTGGCACAAAATTGAAAATTCTTGTATCTATCTATTGTGTCACTAATTGCTCGCAAAATTGGATAGCATCCTGCCGGCTTTCCGCGGGGGGGGGGCCAACATGCCGGAGCCGAGTTAATGTCTGGGGCATTATTATACCAGAACAGCTTGGAGATGGTGCAAGAAAAGGCAAACCCGTGGCTGAGTCTACTAGAATACTATCCACAAGCATAAACCTCTTAGTCAAGTGTTATAAAAACAAACACCTACTCCTGAGTCTCCTCATCATTCAGCTTAGACATGCATCACACTACGTCTTGAGGACACGCATAGTTTAAGGGTTAGCAAGGTAGAGCGCAAGAGTCGGCATAAAAGGACTTGCACCCTTACAAACCTTAATTCCTATACTCGGGGTGTCGCGGTGGGACGTAGGATGCAAAGCACCAGTTCTGTAGTGTTTTGATGATATAACTGACAGATCTACACACATAAGCACGATCATTACCCCCTCACCCCCTTTACCCAACGTCAGAGCAGTAGCGCACGGGTATGAAGACGCCGTGGGCCGCGAGGAACAGCGGCAGGGTGCCGGTCAGCACGCCTTTGCTGACACAGACCGTCTTTTGTCTTGGGTGAACGATGCTGTCGAGGTGGCCCGTGTCCAGGAAGATGCTGCCGCCGCAGATGATCATGGGTTGACGGGAGGGTTGTGATTACCAGGCACAGAGATAGCGGGACTGCTGATCAGTAAGCAAAGTACCAGCCTACTTACTCCCAAATCATTCTTCCTCTCATTTCAACAATTTACCTCTAACTTCAAAAGTTTTTTCCCAACATCAAAATCCGCCCCTTAGCTCTGAACTAAATAAGTATACAACATTTATAATAATTATTTTACAAGGCGGCGTCGCTAAGGGTAAAGTTCTCTAACAAGTTGATCGATGGCTCGCCCAGCGTGCTACAGTGGCACGTGGGACAGAGCTAGATCTGGTAGAAACGAGTGGTTGTGGGTGTATAACAGAATGGATGGGCGGAGATACAGGAAAGGGAGCAGGTTGGCGGCGTCCGATGCGGTCTTCACCCCGGAAGAGTCGGTTAATACGGTTTGGTTGCAGTCTTGGGCCGGCGATTCAAAGGCCGTGTTTGCTACAGTGTAAGGTGTGAGTTGGGAGAATTGCGGTCGATGATGCTTGGTAATGTATGGGAGACAGGCCACGTGGAGTTGTCAGCTGCCTCTTGACCGCTGCCGCGTTACGTATACCCAGTGCCATATTTATCGTCACCAGCGGCACGTGACACTCAAGAGGAAATCTGAAGTCTGTTGTCAAAGCCTGGCCATAAGTTGGTCCTTGCTTTAGATCTTGGCATATGTGAAGCTTATGAAAATACACGTACTGATGCCAGGCAGTAGCTTTAGGGTGGGCATATGGTGGATGTGTCAGGTATAACTCCCCTCAGATATGGTTCTGGCATTCAGACACGAAGTACATACCGGAGATGTAACGAAGAATTGTTTTCCGCTCATCCCTTGGCATAAATGAGCAAGCTCTGACATACATAGTAGGGGTCCGTCCGAACAGTCCAGGCGAGCTCCACGCCAAGTTGGCCATCGTGAAGTGCAAACGCCCTATTAGGCGGAAAGGATGTGAGCCGAAGATTGGATGCCGGAAAGCATCATCGTTGCCTTCCTGCCGTCGTTTTAGAATGGGTATTGATGTACATATGTAGAAGCATTTGAGATTGATGTCTTCCTCGACTTGTTTAGGGAAGAATCCATCCCCGATTGTGCGTACAGCTACCTGTCCAGGCAGTCGTTCAAAACCAATCATCCTCTGTCTATTTTAGTTATACCCCTACCCTCAAGCGACATAATAGAACTGACAGATGAACCGATCTCCACCATCATTGGTAAGTGCCGCTTTGCCGGCGGCGTTAACTTGCTAATCAAACTGTGGGAGCGAATATTAGATACCTCAATGTGTCTGTCTGAGCAACGATCGTATATTTTATCTTACCTTGAGTAGTAGGTCAGATTGATTCCTCATCATATTATTAGTACTATCATAACTAATACTATTATCTATCAAGGATGGAGACCATATCAAGTGCGTCATCGGAGAGATCATGACAACCAACACGGCGCCGCCACCGGTATCACGATGCCTATTGCCGCGTCGCAGCTAGCCCTAATCTGCAACACTTCAATACTTCTAGGCTGATGGAACAGTCATGCAGGTCGGATATCCTGTCGAAGCGGAAACCATCTACCGGTCCTTCTTCGACGACGACTCGGAGGACTAACGTGGGCTCCCTGAAAAGCATCGATCACACCAAGGGCAGGCCGGCATCACCTCATTACCCAAGCCCCTTGCTGCTGTTGCAGAATAGACACATCTCCCCGAGCTTCTGTTTCGACAACATCAACCCTAAAAGAGTCGGCAGAGCCGCTCAATAGCCAGTCTCGACGTACAAGTCTGAATAAACTCGGGTTTGGGAGAGCCAATGCCCACGTCATCCTCAGAAAATGCCAAAGATCACAAATGGATATCCCCTCCAACTATGAATGTAATGCGCAGTGCTATACTCCCTACTTATTCTCAGCCCACTCTGAAAAGTTTCTTTTAGCTAACCTAGCTACGCACTTCGACTTCCTCGATCAGAGCCTGTCTCTCTGGGGCTTCGCGATCTCGCGGGCACTCTATGACAGCGCTGATCCGCTTCGCTAGTCAGCGTCGCCTTCTCTGCCTCTCTGATCGAAGATCTCAAGTCTGCCAACTCAGCCAAGCGATAGCAATAGCAAGAGGGGGACGTTGGCAGACAATTGATACCCAGCTCTCCCAGTATCTATAAGACCAAGCGCGGGATCTTGAGCGTCTTCACCGGCCAGAGCGCGCAGTATATCGGATGGGACTCGAGCTCGTCGCAAAGTGCCTTCGCGATCAAGGTGTTGCAGGTCCTGGAGGGTCACCTCGCCCACCGCGCAGTCCAAGTCTGGTCTGATACTTCTCGTGCCCCAGGCAGTGTTCTCGTTCGCTGTTTTGGTCTCTGCAAGAAGGCTACCGATGGCTTGCGGGAGGTGTCAGATCTTGGGAAGTTTCTGTATCTTGGCGATGAGGGAGATCTGATGAGTGTGGCTCTTACAGCCTTCGTGTCAAGGCGGTGTTTGTTTGTGCTATCGATAACCTTGACTACTGTCTAGAGGTGTCTACTAAGTTTGTTAATGTGCTATTGATGGAATGTTCTCTGTGGTTACTTTTAGGCCCATGGACTTATAACGGATATTAAATCGTGAAGGAAAAGTGGCGTTTTGTGAGTTTTTCGACGGTGAGTGGCTGGAAAAAGTCTGCTCTAATCAATCTGTTCGTGGTCTGAGTCGAGGAAATGGTTGTGGTCGTAACATATCTTTAGGAGATGCCTAGTATAATCATCTGTGTCTCATAACGCTGACGGCTTGAAAAAGTCTGCGGCGAAAACAACGCGATATCCCGCAGAGAGGGGAGACTTGGGATCTGGATATTAGTTGGAGATTGTGTCGCTGGCAGCGCACAGAGTTCATGAAATGCTTTCGTCAATAGAAACGGCGACCGATCAAAGGGAGCAGAGGCACCGTTCTAACAACGCAGAGGAGGCAGGGATAACGATCCATAGCTGGAAGAGCAGCAAATCAGAATGCAGGATTACAAGCTTTCGTCCCGAGAGGAGGTGGCTCGGAAGTCGGCACCTGGTGGCCAATCGAATGTTCACGCAAAGTATAATTAATGCTCGGACAACTTGTATCCTGCGAGCAGTCCTGGTCCCCAACGAATCTATTGAACTTCACCACGGATTGGCTCCTTTTCTCGGAAACGGAGAAACAGCCAATCAAGGCCCAAGGTTCTGAGCAACCTTAGTGGCAGAGTTTGAAGTCATTGTGTAGCTTGCAAGTTATACCCTGTCACTGTCATAAGTTATAACTTTGATAGCTCGTCAAGTCACAGCCTAATAGCAACTCTGTTGTCGCCAACGTTCTGATGCCGAAAGGTGGTTCGTATATAGTCGTAGTAAGTTAAGCTAGGTTCAGCAGTTACACTATGCTATTAGGCATTCTACACTGTATCGAGAGATCGAGTTGTGGGACAGGTCAGAGGTGCACCGTGCTGCGTATTGAGTATTTAAGCAGTGTGAAATTACAAATGTACTGGGTGAACTGCACTGGACTGCTTATGGGGACTAGATTTAAAACGACTTTCCCATTGAGTGCCAAGTGACCTCACATTACCCAAATGGGTCTCTGTAAATAATTATTGACAGCTATTGGACAGTCAGCCCGGATTGCTGTAGTTTTATTGGTCTGAGGTTATGTAAGGTCACTCGGCACTCAATGGGATAGTGGTGGCGTTTAGGTCAAAAGTGCCGTACAGCACGTCAACAAACAAAAGTTCAGAAAATCAATCACGTCAAAAACAAAAGTGCAACGGTGTAGGTGAACGTGACCCACCCCCGCGCCCGGTACTAGGTAAATGATACCGCGCGGCCACTGTGATGGGTATAGTGTGCTGGCAGAAGCAGGGGTCTGAAGGTGGCAAAACAGGGGTTACCTACCTAGATAGGCTGGCTGGCTGGCAAGCAAGTGGGTGGATGGGTGGATGGGTGGATTGACCGCCTCCCATATTAGGCTTAGTGTAGAGGACGCACACTAACTGCTATAGAATATCAGCTAGCCATCTTTGGCTAGCCCCTTTCTTAGCTTTATCCGGATCTCGCGAGTGTGGACGGTATCCTGTGCACCCCTGCACGGCTCCCCTGTTTTCTTCATGACCGAGGAGGAGGTGGGGACTGTCAAGACATTTTAGGGTTAGGTTGCCAAGTCAACTAACCATCGAGCAAGGCATTGTTCCCAGCTTGGCAAGGCTTGGTTTGACATTCGATATTCCAGCCTGGACATTCCTTGAGAACCCACCCTAGCTCGGGCCGAGAGGTCCGATTAAGGTGCCTTTCGAGAACTTTTGAAGGGGCACAGAGCTATCGTCATTATGGTCTCGCAATCAGGAGTCCTATCACGCCCATCGCCTCTTTGATAAGCACCATCCTAGTAAAATTCGTTTACAGGAGGATCCATGTCCAGAGTGCTCCAACCCCTCGGGCACGCTATCTCTAACAGGCAGCTCAATGTTCCCCGATTGCACAAATGCCTCCCATTATCACGACATCGGACCACTTATTTTCTACTATCATTTACAAGCATCAATGGCTCATCTGAGGCTAATTGCAGACAGGCAAACCACATCAAATGATGGGGGGGATTCCACATAAAGAGACCATTTGTACGCTCAAATCTTGCACGTACATGTAGCTCTTGCACGCAACACCTATCATCGCCCGACAAGTTCCTGGTGACGGAAGTCTCCGATTTTCTTTGCGCCTGGCTCCGTCTGCGCAATTGCTGTAGCAATATGCCAGCCACAGCTGCCGAGAATGTCATGGTGGGGGGACTGAACCCCGTCGAAGGCAAAGTAGTTTCAGTCCCTTCCCACGCGGCGATTAGTGAGAAGGTCGGCATCGATGAAGCAGGTATTGGCAAGGAACTGGACTCCGGAATTCAGGCTACTCCAGTCTCGCCACACTCGCTTGAGGACGACGGCAATGACAGCGACAATGCCATTATCATCAGCGGCGCTGACGCTTCTCGCTACCTTCTGCCGCTACGGGATGATTTTGATCCCTCCCTTACCTTCCGTAGTATGTTCTTGGCGACATGTCTATCAGCTTTCCAGGCTGTTATGAGCCAGATTTACACGGTGAGCCAACAACCCCCCGGAAACTATTATGTCCGAGTAACAACAAATACTAACGTGACCAATTACTAAGTTCAAACCGACCCAAGCTACTATATCAGGAACATTCATTGTCCTCATAGGGTATTTCGTTGGCAAAGCATGGACCGCCGCTCTTCCTCGTGGCGACAAACTCGAGGCTCGCTGGAGAGAGAACAACGGCCAGGGCGATCTTCCTATATGGATCAAACTTTTCAAGTTCATCAACCCTGGGCCTTGGGGCCTTAAGGAGCATGCGATTTGCTCCATCACTGCCACTTCTGCCTCTAACGCTTCTGCGAGTGTCCAAGTATTTGCGGCACAAGATCTATTCTACGACTTACCGTTGAGCGCAACAACTGTCATCTTGTCTGTAATCTCCATCGGTCTGTTTGGTTACGGCATTTGCGGTGTTATGCGCCCGATCGCTGTCTGGCATGTCGACGCAGTTTACTGGAGTACTCTTCCTACGGTCAAGACTCTTCAAGGTCTTCACTGGCAAGACCTGAAGAATTCCAAGCCTCTGCGATGGTTCTGGTACAGTTTTGTTGGAATGTTCATTTACGAGTTCTTTCCTGCCTATATATTCCCATGGCTGAACTCGGTTTCGATCCCTTGTCTAGCTGCAATGAATGCTACAGGCAGTAAGGCTGCGGTGCTCACCAACTTATTTGGAGGCGCAACTAACAACGAGGGCCTGGGATTGTTCACTCTATCCTTCGATTGGCAATATGTAAGTTAAGCTATTTTTTCCGTAATACTGTTTGGCTAACATGTAAAACCTGTAGATAACCTCATTCAACACATCTCTCCCCCTTGTCTTACAAGCTCACTCAGCTGTTGGGTTCCTTATTTGCTTCCTTGCTATGATTGGAATATATTATACCAATGCGTGGGATGCAAAGTCCCAGCCTTTTATGTCGACGCAGTTGAGGTCTGAGGACGGTTCGAAATATCCCATCACCAAAGTATTCACTGGTGGCATCCTCAACAAAGAAGCACTTGCCCAGTACGGCATTCCCAGTCTTACAGGAAGCTTCGCGTATGCAATGTTTATGGCCAATGCTGCTGTAGGTTAGGCCTTGCGGTTCTCTGTAGACCTTAAACTGACTAGCTTCTAGATTGGCGCCCTAGTAGCTCACTGCTTCCTCTTTTGGGGCGGAGACGTGAAGCAGGCTTATCAGAGTGCAAAGAGCGGAAGATATGATGATCGCCACCATGAGCACATGACGAAACACTATAAGGAAACGCCGTGGTGGTGGTATGTCATTGTGCTTGTTCTCAGCTTTATCCTTGGCCTTGTTGTTGTCTGCACTCAGAACGTTACGTTGCCTGCATGGGCATACGTTGTTTCGCTCCTGCTCGGAATCTTTATTGCACCGTTGGTAAGTTTTCCCCCCATAATATCTACTTGTTTCTTTTTATATATTCTCTAACAATGAAACAGAGCACAATCCTATATTCTCGTTTTGGAAACGGTATTGCCACGAATAACTTATCGAAGATGCTGGCGGGTCTCATAATTCCTGAGCGCCCTATCGGCAACATGTATTTCGCTGCCTGGTCACACAACGTCATCTCGAACGCTGTCAATCTGTCCAATGATCTGAAGATGGGAGAATATCGTATGTCTGCTCGCATGGCAACAGCTTCGAGTCTTGCTTACTGACAGTCAATTCCAGTGAAAATCCCTCCTAGAGTCATGTTCCTGACGCAGGTGTATGGGACAATTCTAGGTGGATTCATCAACTATGCTGTCATGATTTCCATCGTCAATGGGAATCGTGAGCTGCTTGTGAACAGCAACGGTGATAGCTCTTGGAGTGGTGCATATATGCAGTCATACAACACCAATGCCACTTCTTGGGCGCTTGCCAAGTATCTTTACAAGACTGGTGGCAAATACTCACTCGTGCCCATTGGCCTAGGCGTCGGTTTCGGTATTGTCATCGTCCATCGTATTATCGCATATGTAGGTCAACTCGATATCTTTTTCCAACCTATTACGGCTGTTGACCTTGATACTAGTTCGTTCCTAAAATCCGCGGATATTCTCTGGCGGATCTCAACATGCCCCAGCTCATCCAATACGCGGGCTACATTCCTTACAATCAATCGCAAACTTGCGTAATCTTCAGCCAACTTATCGCTGGCTTCTTTGTCCAGTTCTTCCTCCGCAACTACCGACCCCGTATCTTCAAAGACTATTCATACTTGATCACTGGTGCATTTGATGGTGCCAGTCTTACTGCTCTATTCATACTATCTTTTGCTGTCTTTGGGGCTGGCGGTCCATCTGTTCCTTTTCCCACTTGGTGGGGCAACAATGTTGACGGAAACTATGATCATTGCCCAGTTGCTGAGTAGCACTTTGTGGAGGAAATTCGGCATGTTACACACCATTAGCACAACCTCAAAACTTCAATAACTTGTAAGATATGACAGCAAGAGTAGTTTAGCTAACGTAGAGGTGAACAAGATGTTGTGTAAAGCATACTACCATATGTGGCAGACTAATTTACAAAAGATGATGCAAAGACATATACATTTAACTACTTCAAAATCGAGATATATTGCGAAGCCTTGCCAATATCTGGGCTACGAGGTGAATATCTGCGCAGCTTGAATACCCACAAGAAGTAAATCAAATTAACTCCACTTCTGCAAAACCCGTACTTCCGCAAAACCCGTACTCCCGCAAGCCGTCATCACCATCATCATCACCACTGTCAGAAGTGGGGGATCTGAGTTACTACCGTTCATTAAGATGCGGCTTTGTTCATGACTACCCCAGATGGATCACGCGTCACTTCATCGCCCCATTGTGCATCCCAGCCATTATCTGCGAGGTACTGCTTCCAAGCTTCGTCGTCATCATCTAAATATCTAGATGTATCTGGTATGACCAACATGGCAATGAGGGCTCCCAAGACGGCGAAGCCTGATCCAATCAAAAATGCGACTTGATTACCTTTCGAGGCGTCCGAAGTATACTTGTTAAGGATGGCTGTAAAAACCTGTTTCCTTGTCAGATCAGGTCGTCCGAAGGTGCGATGGCATTTTATAAGCACCTGTGTTCCAATAGCAGCTCCTGCCTTTGAGAAGGCGGAAATAAGGCCCATCATCTGACCACGGATGGATGTTGGAAAGGACTCAGAAGCGATGAGAACAACAGTGCTAGAAATAAGTTCAGAAATTGTTTGAAACGTCGTTCAGTGATGATTAACATACCTTCCAGGTCCAACTTCACCGAGGGTCAAAAAGATGCCGTATAGAACGACGAATAACGGGAAAACGCCTTGGATGGGATTCATCGCGCCCCCAAGAACAAAACCGAGGAGGGCTTGCAAAGTGAATCCCAGAGCCATTGTTTGACGTCTGCCGACTTTGTCGGAAAGGTAGCCTCCTATGAAAGGCCCAGGGATGTAAAAGCAGTTGATTACAACCCCCCATCCCAGAGTTTTGACGAGGCTGTCTTCAACATTGGCCCTTGAAATGATGGTTGAGCTGAATATCCCAAAAGGAATGCTGATCCAGTTGTACAGAAACCATGTTGAAGCAGCTGCAAGTAGTGGTCGCCAGTATCTCTTCAAGGCCAGCCAATAAGGCACTTTCTGTCTTCGCAATGCGGACTTGCGATAAGCTTTAGAAACTGCCATGCGCATTCTGAACCAAAAGATAAGAAGTGGGGGCGCCATACCCAGCGCAAACGAGGTTCGCCAGACGATGTGATACTGAGAAACATTCTGACCTACGCAAAGGAGCAAGAGTAATGGAACCAAGCCTCCCCAAACGTAGCCTAGACTGGCCGACAAATCTGCAAGCATGGCGAACATGAATCCTCGTCTCTTGCGATACTTGGCATCTTCATCGGTCGCCTCGGCTGCACCAGCGCCAGACACTGGATACTCTCCTCCAGCACCAACTCCAGCAATACCACGGGCAATGATAAGCATCCAGAACATGCCAGTAGGGGTGTTTCCATTTGCCGCGGTAGAGAGAGCGATTCCAAGCACCAGCAGAATTGTCGTCGCAACGGCACCAGTCTTGCGGCCAAGCTGGTCGCTGATAACGCCGAAAAGGATCATGCCAACAATCATGCCAATCAGAAAAGCATTCGAAAGTCTCTGATAAATGGATGTCGTCAGATCTTCGGGGTAAAGAATGGCGAGCAGCAATTCAACATTGCCAATTACGGCGGCATTGCTACAGACACAAGGCTGTCAGCAACGCCATGACGACAGGCATGCATTCCAAACGAATGCAGACTTGTGGGTTGTAGTCATACTAGCCGTCGGACCCGATCGCGAGACCAGAAAACAGAACCATGAGCCATACGGAAACACTGCTGTAGTATGTTTTTGGCGTTTGTTCTTCATTAATAACTGACGCCCCCTCCTTCGGGGTATTGCAGTTTGCTCCCTTTGCATCAATGCCAATACCATCGTCCCCGGTAATAGAATCCTGTGTAGCGACTACCGTATTGACACCCTGTATCGAAGCCATTTCCAATTCTTGTCTTACGCGAAGTCGGACTGCCGTGGAAGGGGTGACGAAGAAGGGTGCAGAAACCAACTTCGCATCTGAACAGTGAGCCGATCCTGCCTCTTATACGCAAGAATGTAGACAGCAATTGTTTGACTTAGCCTCGGCGTCCCGATTCATCGGCAACTTCATATCTACCACCTATGCCGCGGCCAGTCTCTTATCTTCTCCGGACCGGCGTTGAAGCTGTATCTCTCAAAAGTACATAGTGCTATCAACACCCATGTCGAGTGCAACTACCTGGGTGCTTGCACCTGCTGCCCCGGTAATACTACCCAATTCGGGCATTAATATATTTTCATTCGCTGCCCCCCACCGATGAGGGGTTTGTGGCGAGATCGGAGGACTCGGACCTCCTGGTTGTTTGGCAAAGCATCCCTTGCTGGCACTTCTTTCTTGGATTTCAATTCTCGCAAAGGTTTCTCTTCAGAAGACTGGCTCGCAACGATTAAGATGTTAGGTTTAGAGAAAGGCCCTCAGGGCGTGTCTTCTATACCATACCAGCAACATCATGGTAGACGATGTGGTCGCGTTCTTCGGCTTGTCGCAACCTCTTTTCTGCTGTGTGCCGCCACCTCTTTCTACTACCTCACTTCTTTCTACAGCCAGACAACTATATCCAATGTCTACGACAAAGCTCAGGAATGCGCTATTGGCAACCTCCACTCTGATCTATCCTTCCTAGACTCTGCTGTACCAATCACTTCGGAGGAGTTTATCGCACGTAGAGATCGGCTAGCTCGTGCTTTGGCTGCGTCAAATGTGGATGCTTTTGTGCTGGAACCTGGTTACACTTTTCAGTGAGTTTGGCAATCAATCTATCGGTCCTGTTGTTGGTAGCCCAACTAACATTTGGTCAGGTACTATGGCAATATTTCCCAAACTGATTGGGAACCCTGGGAGCCAGAGGAGAGACCATTCCTCATGCTTATCTTGCCTCAGGTATCTTCCTCGGGCAATGTCAGTGCCAAGACGGCTTTTCTATCGCCCCATTTTGAAGAAGGGCGAGTTCGAATGCTAGGAATACCCTCACGCGAGGAAGAACTAGATATCGTCACATGGGAAGAGCATTGGAATCCATATGATACGTTGCTCGAGTCGCATTTTTTCAATGGTAGACCCGCAAAGGTCATGGTTGATGAAGAGATCCGAGACTTTATTGTCCGTGGACTGGAGACGGCTGGCTTTACGACTGTTGGCCTTAACCCCGAAGTCGAGCTTGCTCGACAGCAAAAGAGTCCAGCAGAAGTCGAACTTATCCGCGCCGTTAACACTGGCACTGTTGTTGCTGTCCGAGCGATGCGTCCGTGTCTGGTTCCTGGTCTTACGGAGAATGAGGTAACTGAAATTTTGAACTCGGCTTTGCTATCCATCAACTTCGGGCTTTTTTTCAACATCGTTCTATTCGAAGAACACGGTGCACTTCCCCATGGTGGGTTTGTCACCGGATGGAAGAAATTGACCCCCGAAAGCATGGTCGTCATCGATGTCGGCGCTCACTACCTGGGCTACAGCTCTGATATCTGCCGCAGCTTCTTCATTGACCCGCCAAAGCCGCGAGAACCATACGCGCTGGATCTCATCATGCAGTTGCTGGGAAAAGGTCTAAAAGATGAAAGTCCATTCGGCCACAATCCTGAGCTGCGTGCTGAAAAGCTCAAGGTCTGGGATATTGTCCTGGATGCCCAGTCTGCTGCCGCTGCGGCTTTCAAACCGAACAAGACAGCAGCAAGTGTAGACATTGCGGCCCGAAAGGTTATAGAGGATGCGGGATACGGTTACGGTTTCACACATCGTCTGGGTCATGGAATTGGCATCAAAGGTATATTATATCTCTTCCTGGCGTGGCTTATTGAGACGCATGGAGGCTAACCTGATGCAGCTCACGAATCACCGTACTTGAATAAGTGGAATAAGGACATCCTACTTAAGCCGGGAATGACTTTCACAAATGAGCCTGGGATCTACCTGGAAAACCGGTTCGGTGTCAGGCACGAAGACATATATCTAGTCAAAGAGTCTGGCGATGCCGAGTTACTCTCTGGACGCAGAGCAACTGGGCCCTATGACCCCTAAGTACAAGACTTACATTTAGGATCATGCAAAGTCAGAGTTGGTAAGTGAATCTTTGTTTTGTCAATTGCCATTGAGTTGAGTATGCCGCCAAATCTTGTACGTAGGGCCGAGCATGAAGCGAAGGCATGGCTGATTGTTCTGGTAATTATTACCAACGAGGTGTTGTTGCGTTTGGGCTCAATAGTGCAGATATGATTAAGACATGCGGAAATGTTTCAAGTCTTTCAATAGATCTTGCAACTTGCAATTCCACTATCGGAATTTACACTTGGCAGCAAATCCGCTGAAGCACGCGTAAAAAACACGCCACATTCATTAAAGACAACGCTCACCAAGCCTGTGGAGATAGCATAGAGCCACTTCTTCTGGTAGAGAGCCTGCGTTGCTGGGTCCAACGCTCCCCTCATTGCGGGCTTGTCGCGTCTGGAGCCCCGCAGATCACACAAGGAAGCCCCTGATGCGGATGCTGGAGCCCCCCAAAGGACATAATATCGGGCAGCCACATTTCTAGTCAAACGCATAGAGTTTCATCACCCCTACAAGCGAAGCGTCAATTCAGTTCAATGCTTTGTAGCGTCAGCAAACATTCAAAAGTCGAACGTCTCCCAAGGCCCGACCGAGGCGTATGCTCTGTTCTAGCTTTGGCTTCACCATCTGCACGACCGACAATATGGGCATCCTCGCAGCAACAACCTACGCTCTATTGGCAACCATGATAACGGGAGCAATAGCACAAGATCAGAAGCCGATAGCCGACTACGCATGCACGCACCCACCATACAAAGTCCACGTCGTTTCGAAGTCGCCTTTAGTCATTTACCTTGCCGACTTCCTAACACCGATGGAGAGGGGCCATCTCCTGAGCATGGCGTGAGTTGCTCCAAAACCGGCACCAGGAAGCATCTCGGCTCAAATTCTAGTAGCAGCGGAACATTTACCCATTCGAGTGTCATTGATGCATCTGGCGGTAAAACCACACACAACGTGCGCACATCACGTAGCACGAGCCTCTGGCGCAACGACGTGGTCCGGTGTATCGAGGAGCGCGCCGTGGCCTTCCAAGGCTACAGCATACCAAAGACCCATTTGGAGCCGCTCCAACTCGTCAAGTATGGAAAAGGCGAGCGATATCATTTCCATACAGACTGGTTCACCGACCCCACCCACACCAAGGCCCATCTTGGCGGCAACCGGCTTTCTTCGTTCTTCGGCTACGTTTCTGCGGCTAACATTACCGGCGGAGGAACTAACTTCCCCATGCTTGACGCACCGAACGACGATCGATGGTGCACATTTATTGATTGTGATGAACCTTGGGAGAACGGCATCACATTCCGGCCGATAGAGGGCAATTTTGTTTATTGGGAGAACTTGCTTATCGACGGCTCCGGAGACCACCGGAATCTGCACGCTGGGCTACCGGTAGTGAGCGGGGAGAAGGTTGGTATGAACATCTGGACGAGACAAGCTCCCCTAAGCAAGGATATTCGGGGGGAGAGCTAACAAAATAACTGTTTGCACAAAATCCGATACATCAGAAACATCTGGCTTTAAAACAAGAATTGCATTCATCGCCAAGGGAAATTGCGTTAGAGCACTTGGTTACAATCACAGGGATTCAAAATGTCTCTTGGGCTTGTGAGAAAGGGAAGGGCTGTGAGTCTCCTTTTATTAGGCTGTGTAGGAGGTGTCAATATTTCATGGTTGCCTGTCAACTACCGGATGAGGAAGGTCAAGGATGATACAGCACTCCGTGAAGAGTCCAAGATTCTCTGTAGTGAGGGACATTGCCCACATGACCAACCGGTGAGTCTTCGAGCTCTTGGCACAGCACGGTATCAGGGAATAGTAAGTGGACACAGCCATCAGGTGTGGCAATACATACATACTATTGTTAACCCATTGAGTGCGAAGTGACCTCACACAACCTCAGACCAATAAGACTACAGCAATCCAGGCCAACTATCTAATAGCTGTTGGCAATTATTTGCAGAGACCTACATTTGTGTTATGTGAGGCCACTTCGCACTCAATGGGTTAATGGCAACCAGTTACTACTGTAATATAACACTAGTTATCTGACTGCAAATTGTTAGCTGCATCTAAGTGGAGCAACCCAAGGCGGCAAATTGTCTTGCCAGTGAGCTGACCCAAATACAGCGCCAGAAGCTGATACTGAAAACGTAGACTGGCACAAAGAAAAATCTTGATTTGGCTTGGTGTATCCGTATTCAAAGGGGAGATTTCTAACATGTCTTATTCTTTCTTTATTGATAATTTACATCCATGCCGCAAAAGTCTTTCTTTTTTTTTTTTTTTTTTTTTTTAACTTTTAGCTTGCATGAGCAGCTGCAAAGCAGTGTGGATTTGTAGTTCATTGTATACTAGGAGGGTATAGCCATGTGTTACTTCGCTATTGCAGCCTGTTGAGTAGGCTAAGCGACGGCGGCGGATGGTGTTTTACAACGACAAAGCAACTGGAACAAAGCAGGCTTAGGGCTCACTACACCAGCAATCAACAGGCCACAGAGGGCACGAATAGTGAGGAAGACACACAGGCATGCATTACAACCTACAGCTCTAAAGTAACTAATAGTACTCTGTAAACTGCCTAGACAGGCGTCTAGTGTCTTGCACAAGACAGAGTAAACATAATGCTGGCGTCAACCCATGAGTTCGTCAGACTCAGAAGGGACCTAGCAGGCATGGTCAATGCGAGGCATGGTGCGACTGAGCTGGGCATACATACACACTCTTTGCGAAGAGAGAGGTGTGCTTTTCCCTTGCATTGACTCTACACTATCCGTACAGTGCTCAGCACATGTAGTAGCAGTAGCACCTGCTGCCCCTTTCCAAGAATGGGGTAAGTATTGCGGAGGGACACACCCCGGGAAGCGCGTCGCTTTCTGCCTACCTGTGCCTTGGTGATTGGGAAGATGGACGCTCAATACCAGGTACCTTGGGTAGCACAGCAGGGTACTGAGGTACCTATCTGCCGAAGTACTGGTACAAGGCATAGCAATATACAGTGCCAACTGTTACAGGGTTCACCCAGGTCCTCTACCTCATCTCTGCTGGTGCCTGCTTGCTTACTGCTTACTGAGCACCACGAGCCAGCCTGGAAATCCTACTGGGCGGTTCCAATGCAAGGACGGGATGAACATTGGACCGGATTGCCCCCCGTATTGAGAAACAGTGACAGCTGCACATCTCATCATCACCCACTTATCGCTCGCCTTGCTCTGAGCCTTGGCATTTTAAAAACTTCTTGGATTCTATTCCCTGTCTCTTGTTGAATCCTCTGCTACAACCCGCAAAGAGGCAGGCAGCCATAGTTGACAGGTAGAGAGGTTGAATGCAAACGAGCCGGAGCAAAAGACGCAACGAAGCGTGGCCGCTTTCTTGCCTCTTGCCTGTCTGCCCCGTCCCTTTTCAGTCCGTGGCGTCTAGTGGCGCCCACTGTCTCATGCTCAGGTATCAGGCTTGTTGCAAGACCCGCAAGTCGCCTCGCCTTGTGAGGTAGGTAATACCTACCAACCAGTACCGAGCAAGGGTCTTGCAAAAGTAACTACGTACTTCTCTTATGCGCCAGCACGGCTTGTCCAATTATTTACCTATGGATTTTTACCTTTCCCTCCCCTCCTCTCTCACTGCTTATCCATCTTCCAGTTTGACTTTCGGCCTGTGGCTTTATTGTACCTCTTTACCCATTACCCACAATTATTCCTTTGTCCTTCGTTTGCTAATTGTCCATATATTCTGTTATTTTCCTTTAGGCCATTTCTCCCTAATCCATCCTCTCTTTCCCCCCCACCAGGCCCCGAACGAACGACGACGAACACGGCGACGTCGACGACCAACCTGCGGTACAGTACTATTGCGACCAGCAACTCAGTCATCTACCTTTCGGCCGTGCCCCCTTTCAACAGCAACTCCTGCTCCCAACCGACCAACCGACTGCCTCCTTAGTCTGCTTTCGCTTGTTGTCACTGCCGTCGCTTGCAGCCGACCCTTGCGGCACCCTTATACCATTGGCAACGCATGCTATAATGGGATTGGATCCAAGGCGCCGTGCTGTTTTTCTAAACCCAACAGTCGCTGTCAATATGCTCTCCCGCCGCGCTCTCACTGTTCTCGCCCTCGTCTCCGTAACCGCTGTCATATTTCTCATCTCCTCGAGGAGACTTGGCAGCGACTGGGCCATCGAGGGTCCCAACTACCACCCCCTCAAGGGCCACAGCCCGCCGACTCCTTCGGGAATCTCTCCCAGCGGCCGTCCTGAGACAACACCCGCCCCTCCGAGCTCTCAAGTCGATCACCTCGCTCAACACAATGTGTCGAATCAAGACATCCCCTACCGTCCCCGCGACCCCATTTGCGACACCTTCCCCGACACGAGCAACATCCTCGTCGTCATGAAGACGGGCGCCACCGAATCGTTCGATAAGGTCCCTACCCAGCTCATGACCGTGCTCAAGTGCCTACCCGAGTTCTTTATCTTCTCCGACCTTGACCAGACCATTGCAAACTACCACATCCGCGACAGCCTTGATCGTGTCCTTCCCGAGGCCATGGAGGGCAACAAGGACTTCGACCTCTACCACCGCCAAAAGAGCTGCCAGGCAGACCAGCAGAGTTGCAACAAGCTTGCCGAGAGCAAGGACGAGGGCTGGAATCTGGACAAGTACAAGAATGTTCACATCGCCGAAAAGACGTACAACTTGCGCCCCAACTACGACTGGTATATTTACATCGACGCCGACACCTACGTCCTCTGGCATACTCTCGTCCAATGGCTCAAGAACCTGAACCCCAAGAACAAGCACTACCTGGGCAGCGTCACAATGATCCGCAACTTCGTTTTCGGTCACGGTGGCAGTGGCTATATTGTTTCCCACGCTGCCATGCGCGACATGATCGCCGGCCATAAGGATGTCGGCAATAAGTGGGATGTCCGCGCCAGCAAGGAATGCTGTGGCGATTACATTTTTGCGATGGCCATGAAGGAGAACGCCGATGTCGACGTACATAATGTGGTAAGTCTTGGCGAATCACCTTTCCCTCCTCCACCTCCCGCCTTTGTTTTCCCCTTCCCAATGTAGACACTGTGGTTCTCCCCCTCTCTATTGAAAGTGAAGACGAAAGCAGTATACTTACACTACACAGTGGCCGACGATCAACGGAGAGAAGCCCTTCACCCTCCCTTACGGCCCAACGCACTGGTGCCACCCCATCGTGACGATGCACCACATGAACGCTGAGGAGATCTCGTCCTTTTGGGAGTACGAGTCAAAGCGCTACGCCGACCCTAACCTCCCGCAGCCGCCTCCCGCCATGCGCATCAAGGACATTTACAACGAGTTCTTCAAGCCCCGCATGCAACCCCAGCGCGTCGACTGGGATAATCTCGCCGACGACCGTTTCTACCTTGACGCGACCGCCAATAAGCACGAGGAGTGGCAGCTCGGCCGTGCCAAGACCGAAAACCTCACACCGGAAGAAAAGGAAGCTCATCTGTCGTTTGACAAATGCCGCAAGGCCTGCGAGGCTGACGATGCTTGCTTCTCCTTCCGGTACAAGGACGGCCTCTGCAGCTTCTCCTGGGCATGGAAGCTCGGCCACCCGGTCAAGCGCGCGTCCAAGGATGAGGACCGCGTCATGTCGGGCTGGGCCGTCGACAAGATCAACGCCTGGATCGAAAAACAGGGCGAGTGCGGCCCTGTAAAATGGCCCGATGTTTGAAGCAGTCGTTCACCCACCTTTCCCAGCTATTATCTATGAGCGGGTGCAGGAGATTGACGTCGATATGAAAAGCACGGCGCCGAGAGGCTATGGCAGCCATGACTGTCACCCAAGGCTTGATGCTTGACGTACGTATCGCGTGTGGCCGCATTACGTGGCTTATCACGACAAGGGCTTGCATAAGCGGGCAGTCTTGGATATTCCGGTGGGAGGGTGATCTGGCCTTTCCATCACACAAGGTTTCTTGCCTTCGTGATGTGATTCGCAACAGAAAACCATCATGACCACGCACTCCAAGAGCAAGCCCGCTCGGCGTTGCACCAAAGCAGCTCTCTATAGAAGAACGAGCATGCAGTAATTTTTTTGTCTTCTTTTTGTGTGCATTATGAGGCAGGAAACTTTCTGGAGACGTTTCTGGCGTTTACGTAGGAAGTTCGTTTTCAGCCTCTGCATGACGACGGGCTTGCTGAGTTGGTGGGAGCCAGCACCTATGAAGGCCCATTTCTTCGCTTATATTATTTAAGGTATATATTAATACCCCAACATGTATCATTCTATTCTAGAAATCAGTGTTCTCCGCGCCGTATATAATAGGCCGGGTGCCCAAGTCTACGGGAGTCGATATGTACTTAGATCTGCGCAGACTCCACTTTCAGGTTCAGCGAGCAGGTATCCGTATACCTACTTATCCCTTGTCCCAACTGTGCCTGACTAGTGCTTGTCTTGCACGCCTCTTGGCCACGCGTAAGGAGCAATCGGTAGCGATAGCGACAGCTGCAGTGGGCGTCACACGAGTGCTGACGCATGCGGTTGCTGACGCATGCGGTTCATCCGGCATTGGCGAGGGCCCCCGATTGGAAGCGGCAATTATCGATGCCCTGCCGAGACAAACAAGGATGATCATAACATCGTGAATTATCTATTCTATGCACCCCTCCCCGTGTTTACCGCTTACCCCGAGAAATTTTCTTGGTGACCTTGTCCATTTGTTTGCTATTTGCTCATCAACTCGGCCCCGCTGCGAATGACGCCCACAACGGCGCCGGTCTGCACTGTCTCGCTACCACCGCTCGCCACTCGGTGCTCAATGTCCGCGAGCCCATCCAACCACTTGATCATGATCTCCGGCTTGACCTCCAACGTGGCCAGCTGCTCGGCCAGCGCCGTGATGATGTCCGCCAACGCAAGACCCCGCGCCACCTTGAGTGTGTTGATGGTCGTCAGGCAGGACGTTACGTCCGTTGTGCTCAGAAGAACGTCCAAGATCTCCTGGATCGCGTCGGGTTGCGGGGCCGCGATGCAGTTGTATATCGTCTCGGTCGAAATCATTTCCCTGACGATGTCGCCTTCGGCCACCTTGGGGGCGTTTTTGGGTTGGAGGGGCGTACCTAAGAAGGGTGCATTAGCAAAACCGTGCCACATTTCCACTGCCCGGAAACAACTCACTCGACGCATGGCATGCCTGAAGCACGTTGAGCGCCCTTCTCATATCGCCCTTGCTGAGCTTCACGAGCGCCTCCGTCGCCTCGGGCATGATCTTGACATGCTCCTCCTCGATGACCTTGTCCACAAGTACCCTAATGTCTCGCTCCTTGAGCGGGCTGAAGCGGAAGCGTGTGCATCTAGACAGCAGAGCAGGCGAGAGTTTGTGTGAATAGTTGGCGATGATGCAGAACCGCGTGTTGACTGTGTACTTTTCCATGATCCGGCGCAGTGCCATTTGCGCCGTATTGGTCATGGCGTCGGCCTCGTCGAGAATGATAAGCTTATAGGACGCCATACCTCCGCCGCCACCGCCCGACTTCGCCGATGGACCAAGGGTGAAGATTTGTTTCGTCGATGCGAACGTCTTGATCTGCTCGCGCACGACATCGATGCCGCGGTCATCCGAAGCGTTGAGCTCAAGGACCATCTGCCGCATGTTCTCCGCGCCATAGATGCGTCGCGCGAGAGCAAGGATCGTTGATGTTTTGCCCGTGCCTGGGGGCCCGTAGAGTAGAAGGTGGGGGAGGCGGTTGGAGTCGACGAACTTGTTTATTGTCACGAGGATGTCTTGGTGGCCCGAAACATCGGCGAGGCTCACAGGTCGGTATTTCTCGACCCTGCGGGCACGTCAGCCATGTAACATCTTGGGAGAACACAACAGGACCAGGCTCACCATGGCAAGCTGTCCTCTGCCTCGACCGGGAGGTTGGCGGCACTGCGCTTGCCCTGCTTGGCATCGGAGGAAAAGGTGATGTCCTTGGACACGGGGACGTCGACGTCCATCTCATCTTCGTAATCGGACATGATGACTTCTGGTGCAGGGTTCAATTGAGGACTCCGGAATACAGGTTGCAGGCGTTCGTCACAAATCGTAGCCCAGGGTCTTGACCTACTTGATGCAACTGAGCTCAGTCGAGCCCGAGAGACGCGTCGCAAACGCGCTGGGAGAAACCCGGCCGCACGTGACCAATTAAGCTCCACCAATCGCTTACAGTCTTACCATCGCGTCTAAAATTCGCAGCTCCTTCGACTTGCACATGTAACCGACAGTTCCGATCTTACTTTGTGGACTTCACGGGTCGCTCCTGTTATAGGGGGACCGCATTTCCGCTTGTCGGCCAGCGCAGGCAGCTGCAGTAAGATTACAATTAAATCATCGCTACCAACTGGATGAGGTGCTCGTCCGTCTCGGCGTCTGATCAGCTGGCCTCGAGGACTTGAGTCCTTGACACCTCGCAATTCGACACCCCTCCGTGCCAACTTTCTCCAACTCCCGTCACATACCAGACCAATCTCGGCGGCTTGACTTTGCCAAATACTTGATGCTGTTCTAGAATTGACTAGCCTTGCATCGACTGCCATGCGTGATTTTCCTCCAACGGCAACCACTTCCTCTATCGACGTCTTCGTCGAACACGCCACGCTGGAAGATGCCCCTGCTGTAGCCGACATCTTCCTCAAGTCCTTCAACAGTGACTTCTTCCAGACGCTATTCCCTCAGAACCAGTATGGGCGCGACTACATGACCGAGGCCAGTGAGCAGTTTATGCTCTCTAAGCAGAACGGGAGCCAAGAGGGTCAGGTCTTTGTTGTCAGAAACGAACAGGGTAGATCACCCCGCCGAAAGCCGCCTGGACTCTACTACGTCGCGCGACGCTCGCTCCCTGTGAGCTCTGGCTAAACGTCAGGCTTCGTGTGGCGAGCGTGGTTGCCGTGATGAACTCTTAACGACTGACACGTCTGTTGCAGGTATGCCCGTGGCCGCTTCGCTCATCTGGATCATCCGTCCCGAGGACAACGGAACTTGGTCGTGGCGGAAACGGTGGCCTGCAGCGAACGCCGGACAAAGAGATGATCTTCTCGACGAGTTCTTCACCGGCATGGCGACTCAGCATCACCGTATCATGAGCAAAGAGCCTCATATCTGTACGTCGAACCCGACTGCGGAATTGCCCCACTCATCGCTCGCTGCTCCCCAGCTTGTATCCTGCCAACCAGCTGCCAAACGCTAACTCAATGGCTTGCCTGCTTAGACTTTGAGCTGATCATGACGAACCCGGTCTATCGCCGACGTGGGTACGGCCTTGCTCTCCTGCAAAAGGCGTCCGAGATCGCGGACCAGAAACGGTATCCGATGTACCTTGATGCCGAAGAGTACATTGTCCAGTTGTACAGCCTGGCAGGCTATGTCATTAGGACGGATCTCGGCCAGACTTCTGCGATGATTCCGATGGTGCGACCTGCCAAGTCATGATAGCTTTCATGCAATGCATCAACATAACTATGTTGATCTATGCCTGTATCGTCACACTCGACCTGAAAGTCTATTGACACGCCCGAAAAAATGCAGTCATGATGATAATAATAATATTTTGTGGCCGATGTACATCAGACGGACGTCTGAGCTGCGCCGATATGCAATCTAGGCTCGCTTGGGCTTCAACACTATGCTTTGCTTTGCTTTTCTAATTCCTAACCTCGAGTCAAACTTTCTCATCCCCGTGTTGGTTTCCGTACGGCGGCGACCCGTCCCAATCCTGCTGGTATCGTACGTCGTAACTTCGCTCGGTTTCAAATTGCGAAGACATGGACGACCTTCGTGGACGCTGAGGTGGATACCCTCCCCCGCCCGTCATTCCGTATGCGCCCGGAATGTCCGGATACACCTCTGACGCTATTGGAGAACGCGGCGGCATCTTGATAGCATCCATGAGCGTCTCCCTTCTGGTGATTCTCTTCGGCCTCTCTGGTAACTCCGAATCTCCAAGGTCACTTCCAGCAGTGGTTTCATCTGAAAGTTTGGACTTCGTTTTCCCATCACCGTTGTTGTTCTTCTTGGTGGCGAAGAAGATGGCAAACACCATCCTCATGTCCTCCGGCCCCTGCCTTTCACGCATGATCTGATGCGGCACCTCCAAGCCATCAACAAGCCGCTCAATCTCCTCTACGGAGTATTGCCCCCTCTGCTTGTCGCCGGAGTAGTCGCCTGGTCCGCTCGAACCGTCGGGAATGTAGAATCGCTCGTCAACTCGCAATATGGCGTAAAGGGCAATAACTAAAAGGTCGAACATGAAGCCTGTGGTGTAAAATACCGCCTTGCTGTAAATGATACTCTTCGTCCCTGGTGGCTCCTTATTAAACAGGGCATACGAACGTATAGACTGCCCTGTGATCAAGAGGAAAGCTCCAGCGTAAAGTAGCGCAGCCTTCACTCTCAGTGAGCCTATACCAAACTTCTCTGGCGCGGGTCCTGGCACACAAAGACACCCACTAACGGCAAGCACGGGAAATATTGCGAGCCATAAACTCCAGGAGCTTCCAAACTTGAGAAAATCACTCGTCAACTCGAGACGGTCAGCGTTGCCCACGCTGAAAAAGCTGACTATCGTTGAAGCAATGTTGAAGAGCATGATCGCTGGGACGGATATGAGCAGGACGAAAGTAAACTGTCCAAAGGCGGTGCACCATCCTACTTTGGGATGGATTGAACGGACCAGGCGTTGGGCAAAGAAGATGTTGACGGCAAACAGCAGAGCGTCACTAGAGACGGTCAGCTCTGCGAATGTTCAGGTCAGGACTTGGAGTCAAGTAACTCACCCTCCATTGACAGTGACCAATGCCATGAGAACCACACCTCGCGTCGTCACAATTGACCACGTTATCCTGAAGATGCATGTTACAATCCGAAGCAAACAAAATTCGGCCATGATATCCGAAATGAGAAACTTGTGACCACGCTTTGCGTTCGCTCTGTAGATGCTGAGATGGACATACCCCCCGAGCATGAACAGGATCATGAATACAAGAGTGAGGGGTAAATCGAGCTTCTTGTTCGGCACGCCGCCCGGGAACGCGCCGTCAGCCGGGTCGTGCGGTCCACTTCTCCCAAATTCCGGACTGCTCATGATAGGGACAAGAGCAGGAGGTAATGTTGGTTTCGCGGTGCCGAGAACGGTTGATGCTGAAGTCGTTACCGCTGAGGGAGGTGGTGATGGCGATGGAGCGAGGGAGGTGGGAGATATAAATTGCGAGGTGGTCTGAGGTATCTGCAGCTGAGAAGATGAAGAAGAGGATACTCCAGCTGGTTCCGTTGTTGGTTCAGGCAACGATATGGAGTTGGATGATGTTGTTACTGGCGAGTTGGGGCTTGGAATGGGGACTGCATCAGGGTTTCGACTTGAGATCGCAGGAGGGAGATTTGGTTGTGTTTTATCAGGCGGCGGTAGCGATTTAGGTTGTACTGTTTCTATGATTGTAATGTACAAGGGACCGACGGTTTTCAGCTGTGTATAGGTGAGGTATTGTGTCTCGAGAATGATTTTCGGAAGTAAAGGATGGGCAACATATATCGAGGCACTATTAGAAGTACCGGCTTCGCCTGGTGTCGATCTGTGAGGGGCCAAGGTAGCTAAGGCTAGTGTGCCCACAGGTTTCGTAGTCGACGACGAAGGCGATACTAATTCTGCTGCCCTTGCAGCCGATGTTGCCACTTGTATTGATGGTAATGCTGGAAACGTTGGGACTTCTGCTGCTACATTGACGTTTTGCACGATGAGAAAGTTGAGAGACAGAAGAGGAACGGCAGCAGAAAAAAGCCCAGTGATGCCGGTCATAATCAATTATAGACAGCAGGGAAGCGAATTACCTCTTTCGTCAAGGCCTTGGCCCGGACCAGGATGTGAACTTGTGGAGACAGGTTCGGAGGTGGTGGGAAAGAGTCTCAGATGAGCTCTTACGCGTATGAGTCCGGATACGAATTTGAGTCAGTGACGGAATTGCCTTCTGTGAGAGTCCGATGCGGACTTTTGAGATGACAGGTTTAGTATACCCAAGACTTCGGCGTGCCTTTCCAGTTGGTATACACCGAGTTAGATACTTGACCGTTTATCGGTGATGGTGCTGAAAGGGTGTATTGTGGGCACTCGTGCTGTATTATATTGTGTAGGATGATAGAGCGGATGGCAGCCAACCCAGGTGTTGGGCGCTGATTGTGCATAGTTAAACATGTGAGTTCGTAGTGCTAGGTACTATAATGTAGGTGGTTTGTTGAACGACCACCCAGTTCTTCACGCTTGCTTGTTGAGAGGACCAATCAATCAAGGAGCACAAATATCTATCCTGTGGATGGACATGGTAAGGCCCCTTACTAGAATTGAATTCGCCGCAGTTATCATTTTGCCTTTGCGCTCTATTCTATTTTCTCCCTGTCGAATTCTTTGTCCATCCACTCGCCCACCGAGCAATCAATATGTTTGGTGAGACATATTGCCATTAGACTTCCACCGAGTTGCCTTTAATAGTATGTATCAAAAGGAAGCTCGACAATAGACGCTTTCGGGGGCCGTTGGGGAAGGGTAGGCAACTGCCGGTCCAGGACTCGGCAGTAGATTCGCATCGCCATAAGACATCCTTGCCAGAATAGCAACCAAGCTGTGAGACTCAGTTTGTCGTCTCATGTTTTACAAACGTCTTGTCTGTCACTCTGCATCGTCATCTGTTGCTTCCCTGCCTGTCGCTGGGAACTAGCCTCCCGGGAATGTCTGTTCGCACACCCACAAAGTCGGTACGCATGCGACTCACTTCGATCCATTGAAACTCTCAGCTTGATAGGTCGTCAAATTACTGTCGTGAACACGTCTGCTGTCGCTCGTTCCACCACTAGCTTGCCGTTCCGTCAATGCGTTTGATGCAATCCAAACTATCCTCCTACGATGGTTTCCAATTGTAGATCGGCATTTCAGTTGCCGATTTCGGTAATTGAAAGGAGGAACTACACAGTTAGTTGGTATACTTCCACCCCGGACTATCTTGCAACGTCCCGTGCTCTTCAACAAACAGATCCCCGGGTAGTCTTTGCTATTATATTTCCGATCTGTGTGAGGAATAAAATATGTGGGGTTTTCATTTTTTTTCTCATTTCCTAAGATGGGAAAATATTCGCCCCCATAGTATTAGGCAACCACTATTTCTGGCCGTATCAATACTTGCTCATGGATCGGGGAAACTACCAAAGAAAGGCACTGGGAAACGATGCGACCTCATAAAACTGTGAGATAACTGACTCCGCTGACGAAAGCATGTCAACGTGATACATGGTTACACTAATCTTTGAGTCTATGAAGGTTGAATCCCTTGGATCCTGGGGTCGATTAGTGGCCACTCTACCGTCTGCTAAAGATGGGCAGGTGAGTTTCGGAGGGAGTGCCACACATGGTTCAAGGAATTGCCGGTAATTTCGATTGCCTGTTAATGCTTGCGACTCCGTCATACCACGGCATCCTATCTATCTATCTGCGTCGCACTCCGATAATTTAGATTTCCTAGCAGAGCAGACATCAAACATCGATTTGTGGTGTGAGTATCTCGCTCATTTCTGTCTGATTTACGAATGTGGGATGGGCAGATGCCAAACAGCATTGCGTACGGTGTTCTGCAGCGAATATCGACGGGATAGACACACGACTGAGACAACCGAAGGTGGTCACTGTTTGGATTTCAATGACAGTATCATACGAGACTGTCTTAGATGCTCATCCACTCTGCAAGCCGCAGGGATGATGATATGCCAAGGAATGGGCATTCCATGAGTGTGCGGTCGCTACTCCGTCGGTTGGCTGAAGAGACTTAGAGCTAATGGAGTTGATGTTGCGGATACCAACAGTCGGATTCCAGAACTGGCATTCCGTTCGTAACTTGCCCCCTCTCCAGAACCCTGCTGTGCCCCTGATTTATGCTAGTGGTCTCACGAGTGCGGCAATCGCGGCCAGTTAGATGGTGTCATGCTCGTTTCGGAAAGATCCATCGATAGATATAAATATTCTAGGAAAAAGGGAAGTTAGGAAAAGAAAACAAACTCAGCCGCATACCATTCGGGCATGGTAGTTAGTGGCTGAAACAAGTGCCAGGCATCTCATCGTGATATCTTCAGTAATTTTCACTATCAATCAGCCGATAGCCATACAAACGCAGAGCCACGAATGTCTTGAATTGAAGGGCTTCTTGCCTTCCATGTCAATTGCACGACATTAGGTTTGCTTTAGCCCTTGAGTAATATGCTTGAAATTCGCTTCCTCTTCGTAGACCATATCGACCGATCCCGAGAGTGAAAGTGATACAGAGGAAGATTACATCTTCAGCGGGTATGAAAATACCGGAACCTTGGTATCTGTGATAGGTGCCACGTCATGTCAGAAAGAACATGATGTTGGCGGATGAACGCATCAATCCGCTGCACCAGACGACTGGGCTTGTTATCTGCAACCCTACAAAAATACTCAAGATATTACTGGATACCAATAGAAAAGAATCCAGTTGGCCCCCAAATATCCTTGCGACCCTCGGACTCATGTCCGAGCTTGCCGAAAAGGGAGCTTCATGGAATTGTATTTGCGGAGCGCTCTGATCACATGTAGAGGCTGAGACTCCTCTAATTTGAGAAGTTTGTTTTGACTCCGTCAGAGAGCCCAGCTTTCCCCTCTTTTGTTTCTTTTGTTTATCTGCTGTTTTAATCGATTCCGTAAAATGGAGCGGTTTATTGCCTTGATTGGCGTCTAAGATGGTGTGTGGTGACAAGGTCTAGTGTAAGGGGTCGTGGTAGCCCGACAGCGGCGTCTCAAGGCAACAATCTTTCCAGGGTTGAATACCTCCACATTAGCAGCAATAAAAAGGAGGCGCCAGGGAGCGGGAGAGACGCATCAGTGGGTTGGGGTTAACCGGAATTTGTTCGCTGTTGCTCTTCCCTGTGAAGATTACCCGTCGATCTTCTGCGAGGTTAACTATATCGAAGAAAAAAAATGGGGGTCGATGCTATGAGCTGCCAACATGATAGCAGCCCCGTGTTACAGGATTCGCAGACCGTTCCGGCAACATTATAGAAGGCCAAATAGGATACGAGGACGCCAAACCTATTCTGGTGTTCTCATGCGTCAAGTATAAGATGACCAGGTTTCAGAAACGCCAGTTGTCTTCGCATGGAGTTCCGGTTTCACTGTTCTTCAATCGCATGCTCGCCACGACGCTCGGGCTAAGCCGTTTCGTCTGATCCAACTCTCGCATATCTTGACCGTGACAATTCGCATTCGCTCAAGCTTGCCCCCTGCCGACGGAAAGGATGCCGGCGTAGTCTTCTGTCATGTATGGTACCAAGTTGACAGGCCCAGCCGTAAGGTTCGACAGTCGGATCTCGGGTTTATCGCCTGTCCCTCTCCCATCTGCCTGCTGGTAAGGTCCAACCCGCAACGTCATATTCTCCTTTTTCTCATCCTGCTCTCTCTCACTCTTCTACTCACCCATCCCCTATCCTGCAGATGGTCCCCTATCCTGCAGATGGTCTTCAGACCAGAAGCCGATTCATGTCGTCAAACCAAGCGGGGCGGGTTTTAAAGTTGAAACATGTCGAGTTCCTTGTAGTTTCTTCGCTCTGTAAACAAATGGCCCGCGTTTCCTTTTCAATGTTTATCGACGGCCGCCAAATGATCCAAGTCTGACACACCCCAGGTTCCGTCTACTCGTCTTCCCTTTTATGGCGCGTAGAAGCACGTCCGTCCCTCCCACTCTTCCTTGGATTTCCTACCTGAATAGGGAAACTCGCCTGCATGACACAGCCACCAAACTTGAACCATCGACTGACCTTTGACCGTTGGTATCATCAAAACTTCGAGAAAATCACGGTACGGCCGTTCCATCAGCCTTTTCTTTGATTTCCAAATTTCGAGATGGTCAACACAGGGCATCCGAGCAGGGCTTGCAAGCTCTGCCGTGCGAGAAGGATCAAGTGTGACGAGACCAAACCGTTTTGTTTAAAATGCGCCAAGTCGAAGAGAGTGTGCCCGGGCTATCGGGACGCTTTTGAGATCAACCTCCGAGATGAGACCCAGTCAACTATTCGCAAGGCCAAGTCTGCCGCTTTGCGTAAAGCTATCAAAGAAGGCCGCACACCGGAGCAGGACGATGAAAACAAACACCAGACCCAAGCGAAAGTGATGGAATGGACTCCGCCGGCAGCACCGCCTGCGCGGCAACGGCAGGTCAACATTATACCAGTGAATAGTGACGACGACTGGTTTGACAAGTATTCGAATTCATCATCCTCAGACGTGTCGCCATCAATGTCGTATGCTTCTTCACTGTCGTACATCAGCACTCAAGCCCCCGATTCTTTTGCGTCTTTCAAAGATATCGAGGGGGGGACGTACGGGATGCCACACACCTTGCAGACACCTCTCGACCAACAAGCTACTTGTTATTTTCTCGCCAACTACGTCCTCGCCCCGCCGATAGGGGTCGGACGAGGGATTATGACCTTTATCCTCCCATTGTTGAATATGCCAAATTACCAGGCATCGCCGCTGCAGTCTGCATTTTCTGCCGTGTCAATGGCAGCCTTGGCCGGAAGACCGAACTCCCGACGCTTGTCCTCAATGGCTCACTTGCACTACAGCAAAGCCCTCGAGGATTTGACACGAGCCATGCAAGACAAGTTGGCTGTCAGACAAGATACGACACTCGCCTCGGCGATTCTTCTTGCCTTCTACGAAGGTCTGGTGTCAGAAGACAGTGGGATGTCTGGCTTCAAGAAACATATTTCAGGAGCAACGGCCATTGTCAAACTACGAGGACCCCATCAAGCACAGTCTAGCGCGGGCTTGAGCATGTTTGATTTTGTTAGAGCGGCATCGGTATGCGATTCCCGTTTTTCCATCGCGGTTAGGAGAGGATTCTGATGACAACTAGATTCGGCAGTACACATTCTTCGGCAACATTTCACTAGAGGACCTGGCTTGGTGGGCTCGGCAAGCAGTCTGCGATAGCGTCGGCCATCAAGCTTTAGTTTTAAATCTCCAGACAACCCTGATCCGAGCCGAGGCCGATAGCTTGCTCAAGGGCGCACGAACGACGGATAAAATCGACAAGGCTTTAAAGCTACTCCAACGGGCTCGGAAGATGGACGACGAACTTGGTGTATGGTTTGATAATTGCCCGCCAGCATGGAAAAAAGTCGTCTTGGGGACCGCCGCCAATGTGCCGCAAGATAGGATCAGACTCGTCTCGGCGTTCCCTGGAACGATCTATGACTATCCGAACGTATGGGCGGCGGGGAAGCATATCAATACTCACGTGTCGCGACTCCTTCTTAACCAGGTGATAGTTCGTTGCATTGCTTGGGTCTGCTCACCAAGCGATCACACCCTCACCAAAGAGTACATCGACGCCCACAGGATTGGCACTGAGCAGGTTGCGGATATCATCTCAAGTATACCATATTTTTTTGGTTGGACTGGGGATGCACTGAGTACGCCGTATTTTCCTTGTGGGACATCCGAGATGCCCAAGGGTTTGGCTGGCATATCGTGTATGTGGCCTCTACTTGCCACGGGATCAAGCCGATTCGCAACCAGAACACAACGAGTCTACGTTAAAGCACGTCTGGCGAATATTGCTGAAGAGATGGGTATTCGCCAAGCCGATATTTTCTCCAAGGTGAGTCGCCAGGCCCTGGATTTAATATAATTAACTAACATTGGCAGCAAATTGTGTTGGAATCGCCACAACCAGATCCAGCAAATAGTTATTGCGCAGATAGTCTCCTTTATTTGCGTACTTAGCTGATCATACCCCCTTTTGCCTCCAACATGTTTCCATCACCCACACCGTGCCCGGACAGCCGATTGTTTCGGTAACCGTGCATGATAAGCAGCTCAAATCGCGAGCGTTAACAAAGAAACCAACGATGCCGCAACTCCAAACAACCTCGGCGGTTCGACGAACGACTATTTCTGTTGTTCAACTTTGGACTGTAGCATCAACAGTAGTCTCAGGCATTTTGTGATAACGAGAAATCGATGTTAGCCTTAGCTTCATCAGTCCAGCCATTACTCAAAACAACCGGTGTATATTAGGGTAGGTGAATTTTGTCGAGATCTTGTACGAAAGGGAGTTCCCGCCAAGACCCGGTAGTTGTGTCTAGCTGTGTCCCGCAGTATCAGTCCTTGCCCAGGAAATTCGAAGGTTGATCATGAGAATAAGTCCAGGGATCCTGAGCAAGCACCAGATTGGGCCTCGCCGACAACGCCGTCACTGTCTACTGCTGAAGATGAGATGAATGCTCAGAGCTATGTTATGTGACTCATGGCGTGAGGCGGATATCAGAATGGATACAAGTGTGTCAATTAAAGCAAAACACAGAGTAACACACTTTTTTTTGCGCGTGAATTGGGGAATCTAACTGTCGTACCAAGGCCAAACGGCCAATGCAATCGCCTAAAGTTTTCCGACTCTCTTTCCCCAACACTTCTCCCCAATGGAATGCTGCCATGATCTAAACCGCGGCCGGAGTCTCGTAACGTCTCATCTGTCCCATGAGTTGTAATCGTAACTCTCATCGCTCATATCCCCAACTCCAGCTGCCCGATGTAAAAATGAGCCAAACCCATCCTATGTTCCCATGCTGTTGGCCGAGGCCATATTCGCTTCGACCGTGCCGGGAGAGGGAGAAGGGAATGCTGTATGCTTCTCTCAAAACGCCTCATAGCTTCGTTATGCAATGATCAAGGACAGTGCACTTCTATCAAACGACCACCCCCACCTGCCCGCTTTCCTCGTCAACTAAACATCTTCGTTTCCCACTGAGAGGCATACCGTTGGTGACCTCTTCCTCGAAGCTGCCGTTTAACACTTCGGCAAGGGCCTCGCGATCTCGTCGTCGCTTGAGCCTATCGGGGTTGCGCTCTGCTTCCTCTTCCCATGTTTCGATGTTGTCCTCATCGAAATACCCCACCACTTCCTTGCCGAGCGCTTTGCCCAGTCTCTCCTTGAGGCCAAGGATAGGCCATACAGGGACTCTCGTGTATTCGATGCGCATACCCCCTTGACCTGCTATGTTCTCGAGCCTGTCGGCGAGCGTCTTTCTTTCATTCGTGCAGGGATTTTTTGTGGGTTCGTGGAACTTGCGAAGGAGCTCTGCCGTAACTGTGCCCTTGTAGACGATGAATTCGGATGTTTCATTGTCATTTGTGACGAGTTGCACCGTCACATCGTGGAACTCTGGCTCCCCCAGCCCTGTTGGGAACGGCCGCGAAGGGGTCCATTTGTTAGGTGACGGCTGCGGCTCACCGTAGAAGCGTCGTTGTGCCATCGCTAGCATGATACCCACGAGCAGCGGGTCATGATTGGGATTAGTTGGCACAAACATCTTGGAACGCAACTGCTGCAGACGCTCGACAGGACCGTTGTATGATCTGTTAGGACCTTGTATAACGCGGTACATATTTTTGCGCGTAGCGGCAATCTGCAGCTTGCCCAGGTAGGCAAGGACCGGCTGAGTATACGTCAGCTGCTCGCTGCTGCCGCCGTTGCTTGAACTCATGGTGGCACCAGCGGGTATAGCGTTGAAAGACTCTGCCGGGCGCGTCGAGGCCGACTCGAACGAGGCAATAGAACCGCTGCGTGATGGCATGGAAAACCAGGCGACTTGCACGCGACATGTGTCGCGATATGCTAGGCCGCCGAAGTACAGGTGCATGTCGAGCTGCGTGCGCGATTGTGACAGGTTGCTGGGATAAAGGGTAGACATGATGGTGCGTATTGAGTTAGTGTATAAGCTCCTCGTTGATCCTGGTGCGAGCATCGCGGTGAGCTCTCGGCTGAGTGTTGTCGCAGCGGCAGATGGTTTCATGTGACATCTTGAAGGGGAGACGGGGGCACCACGCGGCGAGGGAGGAGGGACTGGAGTGTCGCATGGGGGAAGCTCGATGAATGCCGCGTCAAGGAGGCGAATGTGCAGATCAGTCCAGCAGATGGGGCGAACAAAAAGCGAGAGGCCTGCGTGCTCGTATAGCAAGTCGTAGAGGGAACCCTCGTCAGGACGGAAGACGCGACGTCTTGGTATGCGCTTCGCGGACGACATTGCGGCGGGGATCGGGCTGGACGTGGGAGGTGTTGTATGGATTGGGTCAGGCGAAGACATTGGTGATGCCGTCGGCGCGGTCGGCGCGCTGCTTGGAAGATCCATTTTGAGAATAATGGCGATGGTGGCGGCGAAGGAAAAGGTCGAAGACAGTACGCGATCGTCTAGTGATGTTGCTCGGGGCGAATATTGGCCTACGCAACTGTCAACATTGTCAGGGAAAAAAGTATGGAATGTTTGATGTTTTCGAAGTCGAGGAATGGAACAAAAGAACGGTGGGACTTACGCTAAATGAGCAGTGAGGCGTGGCGCTCTCCCTTTAGCTCTCTATTTCAGGAGAGAAAAGGGGAACGGAGGACTTTTGCGTCGCGGATCTCGAGCGCCGGAATACCGACAAAACAGGGCTGGATTCTGGGGCGGTGGGAAGTAGCGACAAGCAGTGGGCGCAATTATGTGCGCGACGTCGACGTGGTGTTGGAAGAGAAAAGAAAAGAGGAGACGGATCCGCACAGGTCGGGGGAAATCCGTACGTATTTTGCGGTGCCGAAGTTTGATCTACGCGATAAAAAGAGTGGTGCCTTAAGACCGGGGCTAGGGGCCGATACGACCGGAATTCTGTTGAGATGAACGACACTTCAAACCTATGGGGGCGTGACGGGGGAGATGAAAAAATCAACAAGACGTTGGTCCGGGAGGAGTAAAGATGTGGCGGCGATGATTACCGGCAGCCTGTAGGTATGATGTATGATGATGATGGGCTGGGTATGTGACAGTTGGACAAGGCAGGCAGATCCAAGGGTGGAAAAGACGAGAAGTGGAAGAGACTTGGGGTGGGATGAGCGAGTCAAATATTGAGGTCAGGGGGCTTCGGCTTCCCCCCCTGCGTGTTCTGTGCCGTCACTGTGTGTGTGTGTTCCAAGGTTATGTATGTGTTTGTCTGCGTTGAGCGCCAAAAGCTGGGTATGAGCGACGCTGTAATTAATGGTCGACCCTGTCAAGGTGTCGAGTGTGTTGTGTCAGGAGTTTGATCGCGGTGGTAGTGCCTGTCTACTGCCGAATACTTCAACTTAGTGGCCCTCTCCCCATCGAAAGTCCATCCCCAGTCCCAGATGGGAGTCAACTTTTTCTTTCCTCTTTTTTTCCTTTCGAGGGGGGCAGAATGGCGCGACTTGCCACCTGCCTTTGACCCGTTTGCAGCCGATAAATGACACGGAGGAAGAGCGAAGTCACCTGATCTTAGGCACCAGGCCCTTTTCGAAATAGGTAGCCAGGTATCCGTACCTATCCACGTAGGTGGTGGTACAGTAGGTAGGTAAGTGGTACGTATCGACATCGAGCATGGGCCATGTCATCGCTCCTGCCAGCTAGTCAACCCGGTCATGGCGGAGCCCGTGATCATTGACGCGCCGCCCCCTAGCAGCGATGCTGCCTGAGTCACAAACTTTATGCGCTTGTCTTGTGACTCCTGTGGCTACAACCCAGCTGCTGCGCCACAGCACCCCCCGCCCCGCCCTGGGTGAATGAGGTGCGGCGCGGTGCGGTGCGGCGGACGTCAGCCAGCTCAGGTCGAGCCCCACCATCGGCTGGCCTGCTTTACGCAGCACCAGTTGACCTCTCCCGACTTCCAACTGCGCGCCTACTAGGTACTTCATCAACACCAGCTTCACATTCGACCAAGACCAATTACTTTGGCCAGGAAGCTAAGCAAGATGCCGGTATGACCAATGCTTTCCCCTTCCATTGCCACCACCCCGAGCTTCTACTGAACCACGCCTCTCTTCCCTCATTCCAACCAACTACTCCGCCCACTGAGATTAAGCTGACGATACCCTCTCTGTGCAGGCCTATAACTCCATGTTCAATGCCGACCCCAATATCCCCCGATTAATAGGCAACTTTCCCCTTTTGCCGCTGCGCACAAAGACTCGCGGTCCAGCCTACACCTTGCCCTTCCCCAACCCGCCTTTGCCCGCCAATGAGTCCCCAGACCCGGACAGTGAGAGCTACGACATCCTCGACGAGGTCCTCGCCCTCTTCCGCGCCAACACCTTCTTCCGCAACTTCGAGATCCAGGGCCCCGCCGATCGTCTGCTTGTCTACGGTATCTGGTTCGTCAGTGACTGCCTGACCAAGATCAAGCCCAACGCCGGTGTGCGCGATGCGTCCAAGGATGTCATGAACGTCGCCCTTGACACCAACTTTGCCATTCCCGGCGACCCGGCATGGCCGCTGAACCAGGTACCACAACAGACTTACGACTTTGAACGTCGTCAAGCCACTGACCTGTCTAGATGTACGAGCCTCCACGTGATCGGCAAGATGCAGAACAGCTCCGACAGTACCTGTCCCAAGTCCGTCAAGAGTTGGCAGCGCGGTTACTGGCACGAGTCTACGACGAGGGCGGTGACGGAAAGCCGAGCAAGTGGTGGTTGAGCTTCACCAAGAGAAAGTTCATGGGCAAGGCGCTGTGATTTGGGTGATCAGGACGAAACGCTGGAGACGGAACGTGTGAAAGTGTTTTAGAGCGACTAGGCAAATATGATGGTGCCAATTACTCCAATCTCAGCCCGGAAAGGCTTTGCATTGAGGATGATGGGGCATTTATGTGCATCCAAGCTGCTGCTCCGTGTTTAACCCGCATAATTTCCCCGATGCGTACCCTATGCCGTTTACTAGATTATGCTCTTGAAACTCTTGCCCGGGCTATTTCATGCTTCCACCTTTCTTCTCTTGAACTTGCCTCGGGCCTCAACCTTGCCCTCCGCAGGCACGGCCTTCCAACCAGTGAACACATAGCCATCCGCGCCACCCCGGCCCATCATCATGGGATGCGTGCGGCCGGGCAGCACCTGCCAGCGCTTCGCCCGACTTGTCTGCACGTTGGCGCCCAGGAGCAAAGTCGGATTGATGGGGAAGTCTTCCGAGCCCTGCCAGCGTTCCAATTCCTGGATCGACTTGCCAGCGGCCTCGGCGGGGGGGTTCGACGACCAACCGGCGCGACGAGCGATACTGAAACAGTCAGCGAGCTCGGTCAGCGGCTCGATGCTCTGAGAGTAGATGGCGATGGGCGCTCCGCCAGCCAACAGCGGTAGTGTGTGGCGCAGGATAGAGATAATATCCATTGTGCTTGCGATGACGAGCCCCGAGAAGCCGCCAGCGCGGGTCGAGTCTACAATGTATCGTGTACGCGCCCAACGTCTCCTCTTGCGATGATAGTTGCCTCGGCGGTTGGCCTTCCAGGTATGCAGGACCTCTTCGGAGACATCGGGGGGTGGCGTCGAGTATGTGACGTCTTCCTCGGGTTCTAGCAGCTGCAGCCAGGAGATAGGCAACAGATTCGTAGCGAGGGGGTGTAGGGGGTGTGGCGGGTTCGGGTTCGTGCTGTCAAAATTGTAGTACCTGAGAAGAGCAAGGTTCGGCTGGCTATTGGGGTGGATGAGAGTGATGGTGTTGGTGGGGGCGAAGATGGATTCAAAGTCATCGCGACGGGGCGGGTGTCTTCGTCGAGGTTGGTGTGGTTTCGGTGCTTCGGCGTCGTCCGCCATCACCGCATCTGCCGTTGTCGTCATTTGTTCGAAGCTCGTTGTTGTTTCTAGGGCAGCGGTGTTTTCTGTGCCAGCTTCCTCGGTATTTGTGGTTTGCGATCCAACGCCATTGGTGGCGGCTTCTGCTGGCTTTGATCCGTTAATCTCCCCGTCGGCGCTATCCTTTTGAACACTGGCATCCTCAACATCTTCGTGGTCGTTGGGGTACAAGATGCCCATCCTCTCGGCCATGGCAGCGGTGACCAGGCCACCGGTATCGTCCACGACGAGCCATCGGCCACCGATCTCTGACTTGTCTAACAATCCCGAGCCATCTGCCGTCACTATTTCGGGCTTGTCGGTTGGGGGGAGGCCACCGAAATGTACGTTAGCCCAACAGCCAAGCAATCCCATCATCTCCTCCCGCATCTCCAGCACCTTTCCGGCGTCTTTCTCCTCCAAGAGCCACTTGCCCAGCGTCAGGGGGTCGAGGGGCTGTATCGTGAAGCGACGAATGTACTTTTTGGTCTTGAGCAGCTTGTACTTGGCCAAGGAGAAGACCGTCTTCTGGTCAATGGCGGTATGTGACAGAAGTAGCTTCGCGATGATGTCCTTGCCGGCATCGGTGTTGTTGCCCTGTTTGAGTTGCTCAATCTCCTCGGCCGTCAGGGTCTGACGGGCAGCATCGTCGATGATTTCGCGTCTTGAATGCGCAACAACGTCGCCGCTCTCCTTATCAACCAGTTCGAATTCCGCACCGTCGGGGGCAGCAATGACATTCTCGAGGGTAGTGCCCTCTTCTTCGGCGTTCTGCGCGTTCAAATCGGCTAGGGCGTCGGCGTGGATCTCGCTCGGTGGTACAACTCGTAGCCTGCTAAAGTTTTCCCCATCACGTCGGTCAAGGATTTCGTAGGTGAGGTGGAAAGGTCGCTCAATGACGAGGTTACTTGGAAAAGAACCAAGCTTGCCCAGCGAAATGGTTCTGAGGCGCAGAAAGTCAGCTACTAAGCTGCGAACACGCCATTCGCTCATGGGTAGGTGGACTTACGTGTTGGGGATTATTTGGAGCACCTTTGTATCCTCTGATAGAAGCTTCAGCGACACCCACTGGTGGGGCTGGACGAGGTGATGCATCGCTACGAGGTGGCGTAGCCAGTTGAGAAATTCGTTCCAGTTGAAACCGTCGCGATCGAGAGACTTTGAAAAAAAAAAAATCTTATTAGGCGACGCATCAATTGCTCTTATCGCTATAGAAAACTCGATACGACCAATCAGCCTTAAAAGAGCCCCTACCCAGGTACCCCGCGCGGGGCAGGTGCAGTTCAAGCCCGCCCAATGTGTCCCTGGGGCTCCATATCGTAGGTACAAGTACCTATGGTATAGCCATGTCAATCTTTCATCACCCCAACGGTCTCCCCCGTCTCAATTAATGATCAACCTGATGTTGATTACGAGGCCTTCTGATGCTGTATGATTCCCAGCTATTCTTTCGCGGAGTATTCCCCTATGACTTTTCAGGCCCCATCACCTTCACGACGGGGAACATTGCCTGAACCAAGGACCTTTCTAGCCTGAGCTTCCAAGCCAAGAAGACGCAGGAACGCCGCAGTGGCATGAAGGATACCTGTCAATACTCCGAAGAGAAGCAAGGGGAAGAGAGTATAGCTCGTAAAGACTATGTGCGAGTTCAGCGTATTTCTTAAAGGTAACCTTGAGTCTCGGGCAATGACTTACACAACCCGCCACCAGTCTGGGAGACGACTTGAAAGAGTTCACTGCGCATGATAGCGAGAGCACCTGCCTCCCACTTCCACGGACCGACAAGCCTGAATTTGGTGTTGAAATTGGATCCCATGGCCCAGGTAAAGAAAGCTTTGAAGCCCTGGCGCGCCATGAATGAGATCGTCGGCGCGGCGCCCATATCCAGGGCAAGCTGATATGCGTACGATTCTTGCTCGACGCCATGCTTGGTCTTGAAGAAATCGTGTCCGCCTCGGGCCTTTAGAGCGTAGTCGACCTCATAGTGGCCAATGGCATCGGCATATGCACCTTGACCAGGACTAAGGGAAGGCGTCGGCACTTGCTGGGGGTACTGGTGTCGGACCAGGTTGAGAACCCAGAGTTGGGCTTGCAGTTCAGCGAGAGGCGGAATTGCACCTGCAGATAATTAGTAAGATAGCCGTGGTCTCGACTCAAACGTCAGGCTTTTACCAATACCGGGGCGCACAAAACCGATGAAGCCAGTAGTCACGTCGCTGCGTCTCCAAATCCCACGGACATCCAGCTCGTTCGGCTCCGGGTAGTCTTCTGCCAAGAAGGAGAATCGACGAACGTAGCCTGTAGCGAGAACAACCAAATCGGGTTGCATCACTCTGGAAAGTGCCTGAGTGTGCTCGAGCCTTTTGCTCTCCGGGAACGTCACCGTGCCGTCTTTCGAAAAGGACAATGGCCAAGGGGCAGTCAAGATCTTTTTGCCGCCAGTGTCTTTGAGCTCCACATTCATCATGAAGGCCCTGAAGCGCGAAAGAATGCCTCGTGCGCGGTGTCCTTCGTTCAGGTATGGAAGAGCACGATCTGACTTGACGAGGAACACTTCTTTCGTTAACAGTATGCCCAGTGAAAGTTGAACCCACTGCCCTCATCTTTCCATTACTTACAGGAATCCACATTGTTACGATCGCCTTCAACCCCACCAACCCACTGGTCGGGACCAGCGATCGTTCCTCCAGATAGGAAATGAAGGCACTTTAGCGTCTTGTCATACACACTCCAGGTCAGCTGGGAATGCTGAAGTCTCTCTGGGAGGTAAGCTGTATCGAGGAAGCTGGCAATGGCGGTGTCAACTGGCTTCTGGTGCGGGTCAGGTTTCCATCTCTTCATGAGGATTGGCATAGGAATCTTCTAAACAGGAGTTAGTAGTGCTTTTACAAGGTAAAGCTTGTAGAGCTCGGGAAGCATGCCTTTTTGGCACAGAAGAAGCCGTCCTTGTGGCATAGAGTCACTTCACGAGCCTTGGATGTCACCGCTAAGTGGGCAAGGTCCATTGCTGTTTCGCCTGCACCTAAAATCATCACTGACGTGTTTGTTCCAAACTGCTGTCTCTCTTTAATCTCGGACGAGTGAAGAGTCTGGACGCGATCGAGGCCCTTGATGGCCGGGATTGAAGGCACGTTGTTCAGCCCGGAACAGACAGCAATAGCGTCACAGTCCCAGGTTTCAGTTTCGCTTGTCTGATCTTTGGTGTAGCTGGTTGATTCCTTATCCATCCGCCGGAAGAAAATTCGGTGGCCACTTGGAGTACGAGACACACAGGTGACCTCGGTTCTCGTCTCAATAAGGTCCCAGAGTTCAAAGTGGCTACAATAGCCCTCGAGATACCGAACATAATCTGCCATGGGTAGGAAATCGGGAAGATCGTGAGAAACTCTGAAGTCAGAAAAGGCTGTAAGGTACTTGGAAGACACCATCTGTTTTTGATAAGCTTCTAACGACATGGACTGCCACAACTGCACGACGGACGGGATCTGTCGATGCTGCCAATGATCGATAACAGGGGAATTGGACCTACCTCAGCATCCTCATACACTTTGTACTTGTAGACACCGCCCACACTGTCCTCTCTCTCGAAAATCCGGATCTCGATGCCAGGGATCCCAAAGTATTCCTTGGCCTGGCTGAGATACTTGGCAGTTACGAGACCAGAGGCCCCAGCGCCAATTACCGCTACTCGCATCGTTTTCAGGATGGGTACTGTGCCTCTATCCAACTTGGTGAAGTGGTTCATATCTGTTTGTGTTCTGACGACCGTTGTGTATTCGGGATTGTTCCGTGTCGAACCCTGTTCAGCGATGGAGCTTGAGGGGGCGTGGAAGGTAGACGAGGCAGTGAGCCGTCCAGGTGTTGGTTTTGAAAAGGGTGAAGCGAAGTTGAGGTTGAATTTGCCGGAAGGTGTCAACGAGTAGTATTACCGGAGAAAAATATTTCTGCTTGCTGGAAGGGGGGAAAGGAGAAACCCAGTCCAGGTTCGCTGGAGGTGAAAGGCGTTTGCTCTCGGAACCAAATTCAAAGCTGGGACTATGCCTAGTGATTTCTTATGCTGATAAAGAAGTATCAAAGTCGGAAGGAACAGCTTTTCTTCCAAAAAGAAATAATTAAGAAACCAACTAACTGCTCCAGGGGAACAGAAGGATTTATTTTCAAACACAGCTTTTTCAGAAAACAGTATATTAACATGATATTTCTCACCCGCAGTCGGGATAGATAGAAAAGTGCAAAATTATACAATAACTAGTTATACTATTTCAATCTTATCATTCCATGAGGAAAGTTCTACTGATTATATGTTTTTCAAAGCACACCCTCTACTCTGCGTTGTTGGCTGCCTAAGAACCAATCTACTCTTTATTGTATTTCAGCTACTTTAAGAGCACTGAGCACTTACTCTTTAGAGACTAGAAGGGTTCCAACTTTGGCTGACGCCGTTCACACCATTTCGTGTTGTTCGTCCAATCGAGATTGATGCTTACTTACAACTGGACTGGGGGCGACCCGCCAAAGTGGCTTAGCCCGATCCCACTGGACATCCAAGACTTCGGTGAGATTGATTCACATTATGATTGGTACCCGAAATAGACGATGTTGGCCTGACCCCGACGGCAGCAAAGCTGAGATCACAGCAAGCGGCTCCATTGCCCCATGGTATTATTATGGTAAAAGTGCAGTTTGTCGTGTCAAGTCGGCCGCCTGTATTTTGGCCCCCAGCTGGGAAGCATGGGGTCTCCAAATACCAACGTTGTACTACACATGTAAGGAGCTTTGACCCGTTCGAACACGATACTTGTTTTCTTGGTCGCATAACCAATGCACCTGTCCTTTCAGACCACCACCGTTGGCTGACAGGAGGACAATGTATGATGGAATTCATAACGTATGCAGAGAATTCTCTGTTATTTAAGCATGTTAATAGTTTGTTTCGTCTACTTGATGAAAATTACTAAAAGTATCCATTGCTTTTTTCTTGTCCTTTCTTCTTTGCAGTACGCCATGGGAGCCACAAACAGAGTGTCGAGAGACTAGATAATTCGCATTATTCGACTTCCATGGAGGGCTTGGTTCTTCTTTTCATATTACGGCTTGTGTTTAGTTCAGCAGTGACCTAATCCCGCACATTACTGTTTCGTCCCCATTGTTCATGGGATACAGGACCACCCAGATGGACTAGCCAACCTGACATCATGAAAAACAGCTTTCTTCGGGTAAGGGCACAATATCTGGTCCTCTGGCGTGTTGTCCGGCTTTGTTATAGTTACTGGCGAGCTTTCTGGGATTGTTCCGTTTTCAACCCAGAGTGTGAGTTGGTTGAACAGGGCAACTGGTTGGCCACCACGGCCACCCCAACAATGTCCTAGCCCTGGAACCAGGAAGTACCGGTAGAAGTCTGGAGCATCTGGCTGAAGTTCCAACACTTTCTGGTAGTACTCTAGCGAGATATTCGTCGGAATGGTTGGATCAGCCTTTTTGCCAGTCAATTCAGGTTCCTTATGTTGTAAGAACAATCGGCCCTGATAAACTTACTAGTCCATGGAAAGTTATCATTTTACCGCCAGCATCCCGGAACGCTGTCAGATCAGGATCATCAGAGCCCAGAAACGAATCGTACTGCTGTCTAAACGAGCGGTAGGCTCGCTCTAGCTCTTTGAAGGAGATCTTGGTAGTGCTCGAGTCGGGATTTTTACCAATGAAGTACCCCGTCAGAAGTTTAACGGCTACATTAGGTACCCCAGCACACAGACCGTCTTTATCGCAACTTGTTGAAGCACCTTTCGTGAGATCTGTGCCCATTTCCAAGCCATGCAAGTAGGTGGGTTCGTTTTCAGCGATCACAGGCCCCGTCCACATCGCATTGGCAACAGCCGCGGCCGCAGGACTGAGATTCGTGTAGTGTCCTAGAGAGGGGCAGTAGAATCTTGATCCCACATGATTGAAGGGATCGAATATCTTTTTGCAGTCGTTTGTATTTGCGATAATACCGTCCTGAACGCCGTCAAGTCCGTCGCAAGTAGAGATAGCCAGCGCTGTGAGTTCTTCTAACTCACATGGTTGGGGGTATTGTCCCGTGACGTCCATATATACTTTCGGCCACATAGTGTTGATAAATACCCCAGCCCAGTTTATCGCTGGCGCCGCTGCAATGATACCATCGTACGCAGTTGGGTATCGCTGGGCAAGTGTTGCTCCTTGTCGGCCTCCTTGAGAGCAGCCATTCCAATACGAGTATCTTGGTTCATGACCGTAGTAGCTTTTGATAAGATGTTTCGCGATTATTGCCTGATGCTGTTAGTAAAGGGTCTCTCAAGTCGCAATCAATTTCAAACCTCGTCATTCAATGTTTGTGAGCCAAGATCGTGAAGCGCGTAAAGGTTGGAGTTTCCGGGACTAATCAAAGCCCAGGTCGCTGGCCCAACAGCGTCTCCAAGCCCTGCGTCAGTAGTCACCGTTGCATATCCATCTGCGACAGCACCGGCCATGCCAGCGTAACTGAGTATGAACCGACCGGCACGCCATCCACCACCTCCTACAGCCTGGAGTTTCCCATTCCAGTCCTTTGTTGGAAGCCATGCCTCAACATTGACTATATCATCATGACCTGGATGGGTGTAAGACACTGTGACATTGCAGAATGATGCGTTATGGATGTCGATTGATGGCTGCGAGAATCTCCACCCCGAGGGAATCCAACCGCTGTAGTTTGTCACAACTGAGGCCTCTATTGAACGAAACTCTGCACCTAGCAGTGAGAGACTTGGAAATGTGTTAGAAACACATGGAAATGGAGTAACGAAGGGGCTTGAGTCATTTGCGGTTGAGGTCAGTCGGCCAATGGGTTTCTGTAAACCGGCCCCGTTGGAAGACAACGCATATGGATGAACTAATGCATCTACCATTGTTGATAGATATTGAAAGTGGACGGCTCTGTGCTACTTCTCGCTGGTCTTGTGATTCTTCCTTTATGTCGTGGTGGTTATCAGCTACATAGTAACATCCATGTTAATATAGTAGATGATGTAGAAGCTCACTTCATCCAAAGTCGATATTGTCGTTCATCGTTTGTTTCACATAGACCCTCCCTTCCCGAGCTCGCCGAGCTCCGAACAGACCTAAAGGTCCTTGCAGATCAGGATGATAGGTGTTGGTCGATTATGAATGAGAGGTGCATATAAACTTTTCACCAGATACAATCCCGTGTTTGAAACAAGGGGCCCCTGTCGCGATGAGGGCCATGAATCAGAGACCCTGCTGATGAAGAGTATTAACACCTGATAGTACTTGCTTTAGAAGACAATCTCTTGAGCCTACCAAAGACTCATATGTACAGGCTTTTTGAGATAACGACCAGAAGAGGTAATAGGCAGGACGCTTGTGCGTGAAATCACAATCCTGCAATATTTACAAACAACTCTTGATATGATAAGCAAATTAGGTCAGGAGAATCTTTCCGATAGAAACTCAATGACATTTTGCTTGAGAATTATAAGAGTCACTTTGGGCCATGCGAAAATCAGCACCACAGATTGACGTTGTGGATGTGTACAAGGTAACCCCTTTCTGTTCCACCAAGACAAAGCCCTCGTTCTCTGTCGATGTTAATCTAGAAATACGTCACGCGGAAGGCTACAAACCATTAAAATCAACATACATAATTATTTAGTGGATGGCTATGTTGAGTACATATGGGCTACTGTTCTATACTCTTCTCCCTCTAGACCTCTGTCTCTATAGTGTCTTGAGGCCTGAGCAATTCAGCTGGAGCGTACACGAGATGAAACCATCGCATCAAAACATCTATCAATACTCATCATGGTCAACATTGCCCGTTTCTATACTGAAAAGAGTAAGCTAGAGCCACAAAGCCTTAGATGCGCACAATAATATCTCATGTTTAGTCAAGCTCCAGCCAACGAAACGCCGACTTACATTCGAGCATCACTGAAGAAATCAAGAAGGTACAGTCACTCGGGGTTCTTTCATCTATCGGGAAGCTGGATGCAGTAAAAAACGGGCTTTTCCCTGCTTGTTCCCAGCCAACAACCTCTACTATGTTCGGTGGGAGCTAGTTATTGGCCAAACGATCATTATCTCTAAGTTTTAGTACATACAAAACAAGCCCAACAGTGTTTCTACGGGGGTACAATAAAATTATGCCAACCTGCAAGTGCAAATCTCATATTTTGACTTGGTCCAAATACGGTTCATGAGGGAGTGGCTAGCTTGAATGAACAGCCGGGTCTCTCAACTGCTGCTCCAGGCCAAAGGCAGTGACCGTAATCTTCTGCAGTAAGCCTATGTATGGTTTCAACTCTTCTGTATGATTCCATGTGAGTGTCGCCAGATCCAACAAGAGTAGGCAAAACTGTGCCACTCAAGGGTGTTGTAGAGGCCAGGCAGATGCATAGCCAACCACAGCACCGCTTTGAATCAGAGTCGAGCATACGAGCAAGTGTTACTCGATACAACCACTGCTTACTTTGCTGAGACTTTCTTTAACGACTGTGCTAATGATGTTCCTGCTTTTAAGTGAAACATCATTATGGCGGAGTTTTTAGATGCGGAACATAGCCACACATGAATCTTGGCGCGCATGGGCGCATCGACGAGCAAAGAGCACAGTGTATATATTTTGCTGTGTCAGCGGGTCCAACTCTAGGTTTGCCAAGCATATTTTGAGTTAGTTGCATGACTGATCCTGAGTGATGTTGGTGGCTCATGTCTTTCAATGAAAGAATATTTCCCATGACCAATTGACAGTAGCTTGCCTTTGAGAAATATGGCAATCTGTCCAGTAAAGCATCCTTGATATCCATTAACAATAGTGCTGAGCGATACAAAGCTCCGTCAATACCTGACCTGAGGCCGTCGAGTCGGCTCACGGAGTGAGCGAGAAACGTGCCGCAAGGTAGTTTTTCCAGTCACAATGTGGATATTTTCCGACTCGGCAGTCGAGCCTCGAGGATCTGCATGCGTCATTGAATGACGCTCACACTATGCCAAGTTCTTGGCCTGTTTGATAACCGTGATTCTCGTTGTGCCACCATACTGGCATACATTCTTGCCGTCTATGATATACCAACCCTTCTTTTAGTTTCCGTTTACATTACATTTACTATTTATGGTATCTTGTGAAAGCCCCCGGTTGGGATGTACAAAGAGATGCGCTTAGAAGTGAGGAGCGTTAAGGAAGAGACCCATGAGAACACCGCCAAGGGTTCCCGCGACGGGAATGGTCATGATCCAAGAGAAAACCAAGAGACCCACACGCTGGAAGTTGACGGCCTTGAGGGTGCCGTTGCACAGGCCAACACCAACAGTAGCACCGGTGATGCACATGGAGGTAGAGACCGGCAGAGAATACTGTGAGAAGACAAGAACGGTGATGGCGGCACCCATCTCCATGGAGGACCCACGGCTAGGAGAGTGGTAAGTAATCTTGTTACCCATGACTGTGAGTTGTTAATATCATATTCTTGTCAACGGAACCCAGAGTCAATCAACTTACCCTTCATGATGTTGTAGCCGTATGTGATCAGACCCAGAGAAATGGTAGCAGAAAGGACAGCGAGTTGCCAAACGGGAACGGGAGCTTTGGCGGCGGCAGCATCACCGGTACTCCAGGCAGAGTAGATAACTGCCCAAGGTCCGACCGAGTTACCGATATCGTTGGCGCCGTGAGCGAAAGACGCAGTGCAGGCAGTGATGATCTGGACAAAGGAGTAGGTGTGCTCCACCTCGTTGGGGTACTTGTGGGCGTTGGCGTAGACGCGCTTCATGCGCTCGCCCTCAGGAGTACCAGCAACACCAGTCTGAGCAGCGTGGATGTCGTAGTGGAGACCGTAGAGAGCACCGACAGTAATCATTGCGGGAATACGCTTAAGTGCAATCTTGATGTTGTGGAGCTCATAGATCTGACCAGCGCCGAAGGGGTTGTCGCGAAGAGTGCGCATAGCCCAGCCGAGGGGACCGCGCTTCTCGAGGAGCTTGGCGTGCAGCTTGACCTCCCCCTCAGCCTGAAGCTGCTTGTAGCTAGGACCCTGGCCAATCTCAGCGGCGGCCAACGACTTTTCATGGGGAATGTGCGTCTCCTTGGGGCTGTGAGGCTCCTTGAGGGGCTCGTCGTTGGACTCGGAGGACTTGACGGACTCGTGCGAGGGAAGGGTTTGCTGATCCTCATCCTCCTGAACAACAGCGTAGTTGGGAACCTTAGCCTTCTCCGCATCGGATGGAGCGGGGCGTTTGAAGAGAAGAGGGCCGTAGACAAAATGCCACCACTTGAGAGTGTAGTCCTTCTTGATGACCTTGGCATGGACAAAGGGAACGAAGAAGAGAGCGGACAGGAGGCAGAGACCAGCGCCAGTGCCGACAGTGACAGATGCGATATACCAAGCAGGCTTCTTACCCAGGCCCAGGTTGGGGGAGCCCTTGTAAACAATGGACAGGGAGCAGATGGTACCGGCGATAAGGAAGAAGAAAGGCGAGGTCCAGACAGCCCAAGGAACGGGGTTTTTGCGGATGTGGACGGTGAATTTGATAAGGCTGAAGATGATGGCACCGAAGCAGCCAGAGATGGCAGGGGCCATTGCCAGACCAGCAAAAATGGCACCGAGACCCTTGCCGTTGTTCCAGCCCCATTGGACCTTGTCGGCGCCGGCAACCGCAACACCTACACCGGCGACGGCAGAAACGAGAGAGTAGGTAGAAGAGACGTGGGCGGAGTGACGTGTGCACCACATAACCCAGGAAGAGGCAGCAGCCAAAGCGCAGGTGAAAGCAAGCATCTGAACACCGGGGTTGTTGTTAAAGACGCTATTGGGGATGATGCCGTTCTTGATGGTCTCGGCGGTGCGGGCACCGACGGTGATCGCACCGAGCATTTCGAAGATAGTACCGAAGATCATCGCTTGTCTGTAGGTGATTGATCTTGACGACACGCTGGTCGCCCAAGCGTTTGCGACATCGTCTGAGAGTTTAATTTTCGTTAGCGGCTGATATTGATGTTGCGCCAAAGCCAATCAACTAAGCAGGCAGCAGGAAGCGATGACTAGAGAGCTGCGACCCGGCCAGGTATCTAGCTTCTTGTCTGCTCACCATCCATCGAGGGGAGCACTCACTTGCACCGTTGTTGTATGCATCGAGCATAGCAAAGAAGGTGCCAATGGCAAAGATATAGTTGTACTGGTCGAGCGCCATCGTGGAGGACTGCTGCTGCTTGGATGTCGCTGGGCAAGCAGGTTGTTTGGTCTCGTTGAATGAGGAGAAGGGGTCGCTTGTTGGGGAAGACGGGACACTCCAGACAGGAAGACATACTGAGAGTGCGCATGATAGACCTTTTATGTCCTCTCTTGGCAGGTTAGTTTTTCAAAGTGGCGGTTTCCCCTTCGAACAGAGGCCAACTCTACCTACTCGGTGTCCTTGTCCATGTCTGCTTCGAACCCCCATGCTCAAGGTACATCTTTAACTAACCATGCTAAGCAACCCTTGGCCGGGCGAGTTTCCCCGCGTACATGGACACACACCCACCCTCATCTCACACCATACCATTCATCAGCTCGAGATTGGATGATGAACGATGGACCTTAATGTCACGGCGGACGGGATGCATCCAAGGATACTGTATGTGGTTAGCGTGCCAAGATGTCGGTATCCCTAGCACGCTAGCCTAGGTTCACCTAGCAAGCTTTATGTGGGCGAAAAATCTCATCCGGGGAGGATCTGGAGTCGGCGAATCACGTCACCCAAACTCTCCACGTGTAGCATCTGTTTGCCATCATCGTTTGACTTGGTCGTCAGCCCCCTGGTTATCAAGGTTACTTAAGAGCGTGCCAAGCCTTCTAATCGAATCTTGTTCGTTGCACACACTTGTGCATCTGGACTTTTCACATCGAACCCTCAACCACGATTTTTGTTTCTTAGACGTTGATCCAGTGGACGACTTGTCCCACTCACGCCTCCTGGCTCCTGAACTACCGTTCGACTTGCCTATAACGGAATGCCTCGCCGGTCTGTCAACATGGGCACCCACGTTTGCCTCTTTCCGCCAAGATCAATGATAAGAGTCAAAAGTGTCTCTCCAGGAACCAAGGGCCATCGTTCAGCCCCTTCTCATCTTCGAGCCACCCCAGTCGGACCAGCTTGTTTTTCTCACAGCCACTCCATCCCATCCGCCATTTCCCGCCAGATCAATGTTGGTCCGAAGTCTCAACCACCCGGAATGCGCGTTACAAGCACGTTGTGCAGGGTTTTGCTGCCAAATCCTACTGCGACTTATTCCTACGCAACCCGCTCTTGGCACGTCGGTCCCCTTTGTGGTATAGTCCCGTAATACTGCCACCAACATCCGTTGCCGGACATGCAAACCAACGAAACAGAGGCTCGTATTTGCTGGCGTCAAGTTGGATGCATTTTTGCCAAGTGTGGCCAACGTCCAATCGCGTTGGCTCTTTGCCCATACTGAGAGAATGATGAATCCTGCTAACAGTGAAATGGTTTGCGAATTCCTCCGCTCGGTATCCCAATCGATAACGATGGCCCACGCTACTCTGGCCTAATCGAGACGAATAGAATCTATCATCACGCTGTGTCACGCCACAGTCATTGCTCCGTTTTGGTCTTCTTATATATATTCAGGGTTGATGTGTGGATTTTCTGTCCTTTTTCATATCTGTTTTTATATTTGATGAGCATGCCACGCGTTTTTGTCAATATGGCACAAGCCTTGCCTCTTGCTGGTCTAATTTCACCCTGTATGGATGGTCTCGGCACAAGTGAGGTCTTGTGAGAAATATCAAAAAACCGAAGCTGTGACATTTGACGTTAATGAGGCTCTGGACTTGTCAATCGCCGAGCCGGGTACTTTATGCTAAGACGCATCAAGACTTGCCAAACCTGTCGATCGGGTGTGAAAAGAACACCCGCCATGACATTGGCAGAGGGTTGAGCAAAGCTTGCCACATATCCAAGCATTTTTCACCCTATGACAAAGAACGGCAAATATCCCGGCGCCCCAATCGCTGGCGACGTAGCATGGGAGCGCTGCACGCCATGCCTTTTGGCGACATGGTGTGTTGGCAGAAGCTTCATGGTATTCAGCTCCCTTCCGGCCTCCAGGCTAGAGAGATAGGAGACTTGGGGTGACACATGCCCACCCTTTTCTGACACCAAAACCTTGAAAATCTCTTCGTTGACCCGTCCACGCGGGTTCGATAGCTTGTACCGTCCTTGCACATGCAACTCCGATGACAGACTGGTTCCCGAGCCGCTTGAAATTTAACCCCACTCATCCGGCTGGTCCACCCACCCGTTCGCATTGGCCGAACCCACGTGCTAGATCCGTAGGCCAGGACTGGCTGTGTTTGCACAACGACCACAACACGCAACAAGCCAAGGTAGATTTTGGCTGCACGATGCTAGGTGATGTGTTCTCAGGGGTCTGGCATGTGGAAACGTACGTAACGACACGCCACTGGAACCGCTAGATGAAGTCCTTGGCGGCCGGTGTAGTGCGCTATTATTGGTTCTTTTGCTGCAGATGATGCCGCCTGAGCTTCAATCTCGAAGGTCTTTGGAATATCTGTTTCCATGACCGGAGTGGCCGTTGGATGTGTCTAGAAGCACTTCCAACTGGATAGCCTGCCTGTTTTGTGCCTCAGGTAAGACACATGACGCCGATGCCTCGCTACGACGAATGCGAAACAGCCCATTGAAAGATATTCTTGCCACTTTTTCTGAGCCCTAAACCCCCGCTCGTCTCCTTTTTGCTGCTTAATGCTGCTTGGCACCTTAGGATTAGCTGAGGTAGCCGAGTAGGGTCGCTCAAAGATACAAACAGTCATGATGATGCACTTGCTGATCCTTGCGATTTCCGGCTTGACAATGGCGAAGATTCAGACGTCGTTTGGTATCGCGAGCGAGCCTGCACTACACGTGGGATCGCAAGATTGCGTTAAGCACTGGCTGGAAGGTGCGCAAGCGCTCAGCCCAGCCTAATGCTCGGGTCCAGACAGGGCTGCCATACCTCGAGATGCAAGGGAGGGTATCCGCTGCGAGGCTATATCATACTTTGATATGATGCACAAGAGCTGAGTCTGTTCAGCACCTCTTCTCTCAGCGCATGAACAGGCAACATGTCGCCTACTAGCAGACAAGATCATTGCGGCGAATAGTGGGGTCCGGTGTCTTAGGTAGTCTACATCGTAGCTTGGCCAAGAAGGCAAAAAAGTGTCGCTTGGCGATATCGTGTGAGTATAGTGTCAAGAGTTATAGTACACAGCAACGCATGGAAAAATTGGAATACTCGAGTTAAAGTATGAAATCGAAGACATGGAAAGAGTGTTCCTGTAGAATGAAGCCGATCAGACTAATAAGTCAACCGCCGCGTGATATGGCACACAACAAGGTTCTTATGGAGTGCGCATAATATATGAAGCTATCGTGACATGGGGTATTTGCTATCGAGCATTTTCAGACCAAAGGATTCGATGGTTGACATATAGCTTCACCATGACAGACTGCGACTTGGAGGTGCAGCCGCTGAACCTTTTTCGTGGTGGCATATTGATGTAGATTGTAAGCAATCAAATCAGCAAGGGAATGCAGTCGATACTAGTAGCTGGGATGAGAGATTTACGATCATAAGTTGATCCTTGAGGTTTCGTGATGCATGCGAGTGGTGAACTAGCTATTCAGGAACGCATCGTGGCAACATGGCGCAACAACTCTATGCCCCTCTTGAAGGTTGCATAGAACGGCTCATGTTTCCCGTGAAGACTTTATTGAACGCCAAAGTCTGCGCAAGCACAGACTAGAGAGAATTCAACTTGACTGGTCCTAACAATCTTTGTTTTCTTGGAAATAACCCCTGCTTCATGGTATGTAAGTGATATAATGGAGACAAGGAAAAAGCGTTGAAACCCGACCTCTGGTGGCTCCATTGCGGTGTCCAATCCACCTTAAAACCTTAACATGCCATTGCCGCGAAACAATAGACTGTCCATAATTATGAGAGGAGTCCTCCATGGCAATAATCTGGCCATTACATCAGGCCTATAATCGCGTGGGCCCTGATTCTTTCATAAGTGTTATTGGGATGTCCACCTGGATATGCCGAGGTCTTTGAATGGGTCTGCAGACCAAGAGAACAACATATGGTACGGCATTATGGAAACACCCTGCCATGTTATGAATATCAGTAGCATATCCAAATACACTCATCTGTAGAGTGGAACAAAGGGTCATACAACCCGGCCCAAAATACCAGGTGCCCAATTTCCCTCCTGTCAAGCTGACGAAATGCTACCTTCGACGGAGTTCAAGCACCGAATATATTGGCCTGTATTCATCTCATTACTTCAATACTGCTATAAAATAAAAGTATTAAAGTTTCACGGTGTACGTGTATGTGTGTTGTCTGGAAAACGAGTTTGTAATTAGTCGCAAATCTAGTTGACGCGACCATTATACCGTTGAGTGATATTATCAACGATTTTGACACGATCTATAATCCGGAGACCAGGCCTATAGTCCCATTCTGGACACATTGAGCTTACTTGATGAATGTTAGATCAGAGCATTCAATGCGCATCCCCTCTCTCCTTCTCCTCCTTCATTTCCATTGTAGCAAGGGACCCGAGATGTCACAATCTCATCTACCGTGGCTGACCAACGTTACGAATTTTGAATTAATATTTCCACATGCCTTGGGAATCTCAAAAAAGAGCCGTTCTATATCATTATATTGGCTCTGTTTAAACTGTTCCTAGCTGCCTGCGATTAATCGTTGTTCTGCAAGTTGCAATCATATGGCCTCAATGAACGAAAGTGGTCGATGAGAGATGTGCTCCTTACGAGCCAAGTGATCAACTCTCCATCCCAACACTAGCGGCATTGCTTTCTCCTGGTTTCTTGACTTAGATCACAGTGTAGTCCTTCCTCTCTCGTGGTAACAGATGCCGCTCAGTCAAAAACTCATCTGCTCGATGCTACATGTCATGAGATAGGGAGAACTCTAGGATAAATTATCAGAGGCAGGGATAGTATTAAGTAAAGGAGTCAGCAATAGGCGTAGCTAGGGTTTAATTATAATAATTATTCTAATATACCTCCTCTAACCCCTATTTTCTATAGAGTTTTCCCTTTTTATTATTCCTTTAGTAACTAGTTTATTTAGTCCTAGTCCTACTCTAGTGCCCCCC